GAGGTTTTTGCATCTGAACTCTTTATCTCACACACACACACACAGTTGAAGTCAAAATTATTTGCCCCCCTTTTAATTTTTAAAAAATATATATTTCTCAGAGGATGTTGAACAGATTCAGTAAATGTTCACGGTATGTCTGATAATATTTGTTCTACTGGAGAAAGTCTTATTTGTTTTATTTCAGCTATAATAAAAAGCAGTTTTTTATTTTTTAATCACCATTGTAAGGTCAATATTATTAGCCTCTTTAGGCTATATATTTTTTCGATAGTCTCCAGAACAAACCACTGTTACACAATGACTTGCCTAATTACCGTAACTTTACCCTAATTACCCTAGTGAAGCCTTTACATGTCACTGTAAGCTGAACACTAGTGTCTTGAAGAATATCTAGTCTAATATTATGTGCTGTCATCATGACAAAGAGAAAATAAATCAGTTATTAGAGATGAGTTATTAACTAAATAAAATAAACTGCGGGTGAATAATTCTGATTTTAATTGTGTGTGTATATATATATAATGTATATTAATTGCTTTAAAATGTATATATTTTTTTAAATGGTTGAAAAATATAGATAAAAACGACTAAGTTTGTATTTTATAGAATGTGTATATTTACATTATATATGTGTTTTTGAGAGAATATTTTTTGGCCTTTTTGTAATATAATATTCAAAAAATATACCTAAATATGGGAATATCTCCATGATTAAGGTAATAACTTATTAAATTTAACCTTATAACAATACAATTTTTAAAAGATCTTCTTTTCAAAGCAGATTGCTGAAAACATGAGCTATTTTAAGATCGTGTTTTGTGAAATAATCTTTCTGTTTAGGAATGCAGACCCAGATCAATGAAAATAACGCACTTTTGTTTCTGATTACCTGTTATGCATTTAGATTCCAACCGGGACGTTGATCCCGCATCCCGGAGCCGACTGGAGTCTTTTGACTTCGACACGCTGCTGAAACAGGCTCAGAGAGGACAGAAGAGGTAGCAGAGCTGGAGATGGACACATTAACGTTACCTCAGAGCCCTGATGTAAACCTTGTTGAAACATCACAGGAATGATGCACCTGCTGTGTTTTTGGATGTTCACCCCAAAAGTAATTCATTCATTCACCCTTCACAAACCCCTTTGAAAATTTGTATTCTGTTGAACACAAAAGAAGATGCTTTGAAAAATGTTGTTAACCGGTAACCATTGATTACCATAGTATTTGTTTTTACCTACTATGGAAGTCAATGGTTACCAGTTTCAAACATACAATGGCCCAGTTTCACAAACAAGGCTTAGATTAAGCCAAGACTAAGGCTTTGTTAAATTAGGCTAATTAAGCCACATTTATAAAAATAACCTTAGAATATATTACTGGTGTGCACCTGGAGAAAATAAAAGACACTGACATATTTTAAGCATCTCACTGCAAGTTATGTTGAGTTGAGACAGCTGAAACATGCAATTTAATCTTGACTAGCCTTAAACCTCGTTTGTGAAACCGGCGATTTTTGTCCTGTTATGTGTTCAACAGAAAGTCAGATTTGGAACCATGTGAGGGTGAGGAAATGTTTATTTTTGGGTGAACTATCCCAATATATTCAGTATTTTGTTGGTCATCCGTCATTATTACATTGGTCACATGCTACTAAACCCACTGTACAATTTAAGCAGGTTTAAAGGAGTATTCTGGGTGAAGTAGAAGTTAAGCTCTGTTGACAGTATCAGTGATCATTAAAACACAAATGCACTTATACTGGGAGTCTGTGGATCATTCTTGAGTTTAAGCAGGAATGCATACTTGTGGTTTTTCAGCAGGGTTGATTGCACTTCACTAAACTGACTTCATTTTCACCTCTTTCTTACTTGACGGTTCTATTAAAGTACTTTTGTTTATATAATTCTGTACATAAAAATGAAAAGGCATTAAAGGAGTGAATTGTCATCATAGTTTAAATGGCAATTGGTTTGTTTTCTGTATATAACCTGCTTTTTTTGAGTGATACCAAAAATGTTTTCATCCTTTTTCAGTTGTAATGATGTTGCTTTACCTGAATAAAAAGATTTATGTACTAAATAATCAATGTGACATCTCTTCATTTACACAGTTTTCCCTATCAAAGTTGGTTTTCCATGGACGATATACTCATTCATTCATTTTCTTTTCGACTTAGTCCCTTTATTAATCTGGGGTTGCCACAGTAGAATGAACCGACAACTTATCCAGCATACGTTTTATGCAGCAGATGCCCTTCCAGCTGCAACCCATCTCTGGGAAACATCCATACACACTCACTCAATAAGGACAATTTAGCATACCCAATTCCCCTATAGCGCATGTGTTTGGACTGTGGGGGAAACCGTAGCACCTGAAACCCCACGCCAACATGGGGAGAACATGCGAACTCCACACAGAAATGTCAACTGACCCAGCCGGGACTCCAACCAGCGACCTTCTTGCTGTTAGGCGACAGCACTACCTGCCCCTACTGCGGACGTTTTTTGCTATTTCTGCTGAGAATTTTGGTAAAAGTCTGTGAATTTCTGCTAAAACCTTAATATATGAAATAAAAAAATAATATTTTATTTTACTATCTTTATCCAATTAGATTCACTTTATTTGGTAAATAAAGCAAGTTTGTCATATATAATATTTAGTAAAAGACAGAAAATATTACAGTACAAACTGCATTGTACATAAACCAGATGAACATTTTCACATTAGTCAATAATATTACTGTAATTAAGTAAACTGAATATAGATTTACACACATTTACTCAAGTAAATAAACAGAATTAATGATGGACTAAAAATCTGCTGAAAATCATGCATAATATATATATATATATATATATATATATATATATATATATATTCATTAATTAATTTTCTTGTCGGCTTAGTCCCTTTATGAATCCGGGGTTGCCACAGTGGAATGAACCGCCAACTCATCCAGCAAGTTTTTACGCAGCAGATGCCCTTTCAGCCGCAACCCATCCCTGGGAAACATCCACACACACATTCATACACTATGGACAATTTATCCTACCCAATTCACCTGTACTGCATGTGTTTGGACTGGGGGAAACCGGAGCACCCGGAGGAAACTCACATAAACGCAGGGAGAACATGCAAACTCCACACAGAAACGCCAACTGAGCCGAGGCTCAAACCAGCGACCTTCTTGCTGTGAGGCGACAGCACTACCTACTGCGTCACTGCTTCGCCCATATATATATATATAGTTGAAGTCAGAATTATTCGCTCCCCTTTGGACTTTTTTTTTCTTCTTTTTAAATATTTCCCAAATGATGTTGAACAGATTCAGGAAATAGTTTTTTGTTTTAATTTGGCTAGAATAAAAGCAGTTTTTATTTTAATCAATATTATTAGCCCCCTAAGCTATTTTTTTTTCATTAGACAACAGAACAAACCATCGTTATAATGACTTGCCTAATTATCATAACCTGCCTAGTTACCCTAATGAAGCCTTTAATGTCACTTTAAGCTGTATAGAAGTGTCTTGAAGAATATCTAGACTAATATTATTTACTGTCATCATGACAAAGAGAAAATAAACCATTAGAGATGAGTTATTAAAACTGTTATGATTAGAAATGTGCTGAGGAAATCTGCTCTCCGTTAAACAGAAAACGGGGAAAAAATAAACGGGAGGCTAATAATTCTGAGTTTAACTGTATATTTAGTTTAACCAATGTATTACACACACACACACACAGGGCCGGAGTGGGACTCTTTTTCAGCCCTGGAGTTTCAAGTCTTAGACCGGCCCACCTCAGTTCACGACTGACTATATTAAAATAAGGTCATTTCCAATTCAGTTTCTAATTACACTATCACGTCTTTTTTTTTGAGAAAACAGCTGCTTCAGAACTTTAAATGTTCAAAAACCCTAACAGTATTATATGTCTTAACAATAAAACTATAATTAAAAAAAAAAAAAAACATACTCAGACGAGAATCAAACCCGGGTCGGCGGCGTCGTAATCTAACGTGCTAACCACTGGACTACAACAGTTGTATATAATATGTGTTATGTATCATTTGAGTAATATCATCATTAACCTGAAGGCTGGTTATATATAAAAAGAGCAGAGCTGCGGTAAAATAATGAATAAGAAGACTGTAGTCAAGTAAGTAAATAAATTAATTTAAAAAGTGTGACTGCTGAGAGCAACAGATTCTGGAGCTAGGGACACCGTCCCTCGCGGCCAAAAAACGGACCGGCCCACCGGGAATTCTCCCGGTCCTCCCGATTAGCCAATCCGGGCCTGCACACACACACACACACACACACACAACACGTCTGATATGAGGAAAACAAAATGTTTTAAAAGTTCTGACGAGTACAAAAATCCATTTGCATCATTTAAGCACATACAGACACTTAAATATTCTATCACATATCAAACTAATTTGTGTCACTTGAAGCAAACAACACAAAACATCACAGAATACATCAATTTATTAATAGTGACATACTTACGGACAGTCCTGTCGTTTTCCCGCTAAAATGAGGGGATGTGCTGAGGGAATAAAATAATTAACAAATTCCCATAAAAATGTGTTTAGTTTGAAACATTTAGTTAAAATAAAAGAATAAACACCTTGTGTTCATATTTACCTAATAAACCTTCAGTTTTACGTTGAACAATCTCGGCAGTAAAACGACGAAGATTAGCATACACTGAACTAGCGGAGACAAATGAGTGTAAATCACTTCAATTTGATATTTGCAAGCATTTTAGACGCTTTTTGTACATAAATCCGTGTAATTACAATGTTATTTTATTGGTTTGAATCTCTATGTTGGTTTGAACAAACATTCTCGACAGTTTACTCGTCATAACGTTACCTGAAACTGCCGAAGTTTGAGTTTGACGCCGGGCGAGAGGCGGGGCGGGGTTTATATGACAGCTGCAGGAAGGCGCATGCGCCGCGCTGTGACCACGCGCACAATAAGGAAGTGGAGAGATTATAAACATAAACATCACACACACACACTGTCCGAGTGAGTTTCAGCAGATCCAGACACACACACTTCACTTCTGACTGATCATCTGAGCTGAAACATGTCCAACAAATCCAAGGTCTTCCTGAGTGGAGTAGTCGAGGGTGAGTGACTGAAAAATCCTCATGAAATAAATCAATATTTAATTCACCTCAAGCTTATCTGTATAACGCTTTACACAAAGGTACATATCATTACATTACGGTCAAAATTACATAGTTAAAGTGTTGTTTATAATGTGGACAGGATATATATATATATATATATATATATATATATATTGCCTACTATATACAGTACATGAGTAATTTTCCTTAAAGGGGACATCTATGTATATCATACATTTTTAGAGAAGTGAATTGCTCTATTGCTTCAGTTTGTGTTAATCTTTAAGTCCTTATGTTATGATGGGATATTAATATGATGATACAACACATACATTACTAAATGCATCATGCAATGAATGAAATATATTATGCTGCTAATAAATACATTTGTATATTAAATACATTTCTTACTTATAGTTTGTGTCCTGTTTCTAGTCCAAATATCTAAACATTCCTAAATCAAGAAGCTTTCTTTAGACAAGCAAAATATAGTTTTCAGAAATTGACTGAGGTTTTCCCTCAAGATAAGCTAAATAATCTGCCAATTAGGTGAACAAAATAATCTCATTTCAAAGTAAAAACAACATTATTTTGCTTGTTTTAACTAAAAACTCGCTTAGTTTTGATTTATTATTTCTGAGAACAACACAATATGTTTAACTTGTTTAAAAACTGCTTCTTGATTTTAAGTATTTTATGATATTTGGACTAGAAACAGAACAAAAACTCTGATAGCATTTTTTGCAGTATATAAATAAGATGTAAAAGTACATTGTGCAAATCTAAATATTGAGAAAAATCACCTTTAAATCTGTCTATTTCACGTGTTAATCCATAACCACAATTTAAGTTTTATATATTTATAGTAGAAAATGTATAAAATATGTAAAAAATGACCTTTACTTTACATACTAATTATTTTTGTCATAAAAGAACAATTAATTTGGACCCACACAATGTATTTTTGGCTGAATTTGTGTTTTATTTTAGACATTATGTTGATATTATTTGTTGTCACTTTGGTGTACATTAGTGTACTCTTGTTTTCAGAAATAATAAGTCAAAATTATGTTTGTTTTATATTAAAACAAGCAAAATAATCTGACAACAGGGTCAGCAGAATAATCTTATGTCAAAAGCAAAAACTAGATTATTTTCTTACTCTATTGGCAGATTATTTTGCTTGTTTTATTTAAAAACTCACTCAGTTTTTACTTATTTCTGAAAACACACAATATTTTTAACCTGTCTAGAAAATGCTTCTGTATTTAAGAATTTTTAGATATTAATTAACATTGATATATTTACAGTAGAAAATGTATAAAATATGTAAAACATGAGCTTTAATTAATATACTAATGATTTATAGGAATAAAAGAACCATTAAATTAAACCCACACAATGTATTTCGCCTGTTTTTGACAATGTAACACAATAAACTGTATTTGTTGTCACATTGGTGTACATCAGAGTGTATTTTTGCTGTAAATGTAATGTCAGTGTGTTATATTGTGACCTTTGTGTGCTGCAGGGTTTTATGGACGGCCGTGGACTATGAGCCAGAGGAAAGAGCTCTTCAGGAGGTCAATAAAACACTCTTATCAGATCCCATCATGGGTTATCAGTGAATTTATCTCTATATGTGTGTTAATGTGTGTGTGTGTGTGTGTGTTATCATCCTCCCAGAGAGCTGAAATTGGGCCTGAACACGTACCTGTACGCCCCAAAAGATGATTACAAGCACCGGATGTACTGGAGAGATCTGTATTCCCTGGAGGAAGCAGGTTTTCTGCATTTACCTTCATGCATTTGCATTGCATTTAGCTGGAAATCTAACTGTAACCTAGCCGGATGTTTACTTCTGGTGTATGAATGTGTTTTAGATACATGCCAATATTTAATAAAACAATATATCGTCATAAAGAACATGCAAAATCAGTTAATATTTATTTATTACTATTTTATAATAACAATAATAATAATTATTATTATTAAATTATTATTTAGATTTGTTCTTACTTATATTTTTGTCTGGTTTCTAGTTTAAACAAGAAGTAAAAAATTATAGTGTTGTTTTCAGAAATAATAAGTCAAAATGAGGTGAGTTTTTCCTTAAAACAAGCAAAGTAGTCTGACAAAAATATTATATTATAATTAATATTATTAACGAAATAATATAAATTTTTTTAATATAAAAACAAGATTATTTTTCTTCCCCCATTGTCAGATAATTTTACTCGTTCTTCTTCATTTTGACTCAGTGGGCCCTATCATACACCCCGCGCAATAGGGAGCAAGTCGTGTTTGGCGCTATTTGTTGCTATTTTCAGACCAGCGCAACAGTAATGTTCACGTTTTGCACCACATTGTTTAAATCACAAATCTTTTGTGGACTCATGGGTGTGCTGGTCTATAAAGGAGGTGTGTTAAGGTGCATTGTTGGCATGTTGCTATCTTGAAGAACTGAAATAGACTGAGCAATTGACCAACTAAAAGCTGCTCTAAAGTCCAGCGCTGAGAGCGTTAGTTATGCACTTAATCAGGTACAAAACGCTTACACACTGCTGAATAAAAACACACACATATCTTTACAGATGAACATAATTAAAGGCTTAAAATGATCCAGAAATGATGATTTTCTACATCAGTATAAACACACTGCCTCCATGTCTTCTTCATCTCGGGGGGCTTCTTCAGTTTATTGATGACCATCTGCATCTGTATAATGTGATTATTATGATCAGTATTATTGATTATCTGCAGATTTATAATAAACACACGTGTAGATGTGTCCAGCTGTGGGGTTTTGGAGACGTCTGCATCAGCATATGTGGATAAGAACAGGACGTGTGTTTGGATATAACTCAGTTTTCTGAGCACACTTCATTATTATTGTTCATTTATTCCTCTGCTGGAGATTAGAGCTGAATTTAGAAACAGTTTTGACAATCAGATATACCCTAATAGCCAATGTTTTGTTATTGAAAAAAAGCTGGTCCCCTTTTATTTCCTTTTACAAACTTGTGATTAATATGTTTACTGTGCCTTTAGTACCTCTGTTATCAACTATTTTCAATGAAAATGCCTGAAAAGTTTACATCATATGTCAGTTTGCGTGTTACAGACACATTCTACCATTTATGTTTATTTAACAGCCTATAGTTAGTGAAGGCGTATTTAAATTCGCAGTACGCTTTATGTAAGCATGTCAGTTTAACTCCATTTATTGCTGTTTGAATACAGTATATTAATATAGATGTGTAGGTAATTTGCAGTAATCTCTCAGACGTAATAAACTCAGACAAGTTCTGAAACTCAATGAAATATCTGTGATTGTGAGCTAGAAAAGAATAAACGGTCAAATTAAATTGTTAAAATAAAGGAGAAGCAGATCGCTTTGACTGTACAATGATAATACCTCACACTGCCGGTGCTAAATCATTTGCCGTCAGCACGCTGAGGAGAGATCTGCTGTCAGGCTGCAGGTGGGAGAGGCTGCTGTATGAGGTCTGGGCCGCCTGTCAGTGCTCTGAGGTGGGGGAGGGGCCGACTGCGCTGAGAAGAGTAGGGACGGAACAGTATGGACACCTGAGAGTCTATAAAAACATCCAGTTACACACGAAAAGAGTTGCTAGATTTGTCGCTAGTTGCTTTTTTGAAAGTCTGTAGCTAGGGAGGTCTGAAAAGTCGCTAAGTTGGCAACACTGTTCAGTACCAACGTTGGGGAATGCATGTTCATTTTTTCGTTTGATTATTTTTATGACTGTTGTTTGTTGTTAGTTTTTATTATTATTTCTTTTTCTTTTCAAATGTCTAATTGTGAGAATGCAAGTTTTATGTTTAAGTTTTTAAAACAAAGTATTTTCAAGTGAATGGGCCTGTTTTAATAAGGAGGTTCAAACAGCTCAGAGTTTAAACTTGAACTTTGAGTTTATTTACCGAGAGATTAAAAACTCTGAGTTTTCGGTTTCAGAATAGCGGATCTGAGTTAGGTCAATCAACCTTGAGTAGACCAACTCAGAGTTAAGCGCGCACACCGTGACTATAAAAAGGCATTATCAATAGAGCACAGATATTACGAGTGACCATGGCAACATCTCAAAAAAAGAGATCAGCATTTCTTTCTCTAGCTAAACTTGATGTGATCATGCAACGTTATAGCAAATATGAGTGTATATATTTTTAAAAAGAAGCAACCATTAGTGAAACAGAGACGGTTAGCCTGGAAAAACAGCTGCTCAAGTTAATGCCTAATTTTACATTTTAAGTATTTAAATATTTAAGTATAATAAAATATGTAATGTAATGTGTGATGTTTATACATTTTTTTATACTTTTTTACACATTTACCAGTTTTAATAGATTTAACAGTGCACTTGTGTGTCTGCCTTTTTTCTTGATCAAGTGATAGAGGTTGATATAACATTTAGAAGGTAAGCAGTGCTAAAAATAATTTTTAGAAAGAATAATAATCCCATTAATCTAGTTACAGTGCATGTCGAAGGTCAATGAATTTAAGCTAATTATTTATAGATATGTGTGTGACTAAAAGGTAGGCAATATCTATGTTTCCATCCAAATATATTACATAAATTTATGTGCAAAACTGGAATATTGTATATAATATGCGAATAAAGTAGCGTTGCCATCCAACGAGTCAAAGAGAACAAAATCATCACTTCCTGATTAACTGGCGCCGAATATCGACAGTAAAAACAGAATTTACTATGGTAGAAGAAGCTGCGTCAATTATTTATTTAATAAATGTACTGTAGTGTATATACACTAATACTGAAAGAGTTAATGCATTTTAGAATGACTAAAACAACATTTAAGACGTGTTACAGTGTGCTCAGCCTGCTGGTTTGTCCATTCATACACATTTTCATCATCATATGAAGACCTTTTTTTAATCTACATAATGTAATTTGTTCAGTAAAAGTGTTTCCATCGTAGTTTATGCACATATTTTCTATCGAATAAAAGTTTATCCTGCTCAATTATGCGTGTTTTTTATACAGTACATATTTTCAAAAGTTATGTGCATCATGACGTTTCCATCAATCGTTTTTATGCACGTATCCAAAATGAGCATTAAAATAGGTGTGTGGAAATGTAAGGCTAAGGCGAGAAATACCGCTTCATCTTTAAAAAAGGGAAGGAGACCGACAGAAACTCTGAGTTTAGAGAATAAAACCTGCTCCTGACCAGGTTAGGTTCACAGAGTAAGTTACCACAGTAACTGACTCTGAGTTAAAGTGACCTCTCTTTCAGAAACAGGCTTGACTTACCCTGCTTTCTCCAGTTTAACAAACCTGCCATTTTGAAACGGAAAACCCAGAGTTTCTCTCATTTCAGGGTTAAAATACTCTGAGTTTTCACTCAACCTCCTTTCTGAAACAGGCTCAATGTCTGCCAAAATTTCTAATAATAAAAATATTGAAACCATAGAAATAGTTTTACACAAATCTCTGCGCTTAACAGATTAAATAGTCAAAATTAAATATGTGGACTATAGGATGTGTTCGGTGGAGTGAGTTTCCACCATTTCCTCACTCCACCAAAGTAAAGGAGTAAAGAGTGAAAGTAAAGAGAAAGTAAAGAGGCTGAATGGAGGAGGCTCGTTCTTTATCCTCGCGCTGCAGATGCTCTGTTTAACTGATACTGATGCTCTGTTAATGAAGCGTTCAGTTTTTACACCTACAGAGTCACCATATAAACAGCAAATGCACCATAGTGTGACGCAACTGACTCTTAAAGGGAATGAGAGACGAGACTCTGATTGGTTTAATGCAGGTTATGCTCAAAACACAGCCAGAACTTATTAAGAGAACAGGGGAACAGAGCAAATTATTCTGTCCTTAAAATAGCAAAAGTGGATTCAGACACGCCATTAATGCTTTTCCGTCATGCGCTTTAGACTTAACACCCAGATCATGAATATAGAGCCCTTTATTTCTGAAAACTAGACAATATTTTTTGCTTCTTGACTAAAGAATTTTTAGATATATGGACTAGAAACTCAAATAAGAAGAAACTGTAATAATAATAATAATAAATCACTGTTTTCCAGATCAACTGATGACGCTGATCTCGGCTGCTAAAGAGAATAATGTGGAGTTCATCTACGCCATTTCTCCAGGTCTCGACATCACCTTCTCCAACCCTAAAGAGGTGGCGGCGCTCAAGAGGAAGCTCACACAGGTCATTATACCAGCTGATTAAAGTCTGCGTCAAATCTAAAATGACAGTGTTTATTTTTGCTAACTCGCATTGTTATTCTGTAGGTGAACAATTAATCTGTGCATGTTAATCCACTGACAATAGTGCATGTCTTGGCAATCTTCAGTCTGAGCATCTGCGTTTGATTGGCTCCTTGTTTGATGATGTCAGTTTGATTCTTCAGCCACGCCCCTCTTACTTAGTTTAACCCATGAGGGAATGATGCGCATAATTAAAGCTCCGCCCCCTACTCAATATTCAGTTTCAGTTGGAAGTACGTCAACATACTGAAATAAACATCTCAGCATGCTGACGGTTCATGAAGAGGATGTATTCATGTGTGTTTTTACATGATGTGAAATGCGTCTCTGCTGTCTCTAGTGAAGTTTGAGCTGAGAACAGCACACAGATCATGTTCTCCAGCTCTCTGAAACTCACCCTTTCAGACTTTGATGCTAATAGTGGTGTTTTGGTGACTGTTGCTTTGTATAAAGAGGCAGAATAGGTCTCCTTAAATGTCTCACTTTTGCTTTTCCCTGATATGCATTGTGTTCTTGCCTCTGCAGGTTTGTGGGTTCGGCTGTCGGTCTTTCGCGCTGCTGTTTGATGACATCGAGCCAGAAATGTGTCCTGCTGATAAAGAAAGGTTCAGTTCATTTGCTGAAGCTCAGGTTTCTGTCACTAATGAGGTGTTTCTGCATCTGGAGGAGCCGCACACCTTTCTCTTCTGTCCCACAGGTAGAAAAACACTCATATAAAGCTGATTTAATGTTGAATATTCACTATGTTAAGGAGGATCTTTAAATTACACACTACATTGTTATACACTTTCATAACTTTATTTAAAATATGGAAAGTGTTGATAACAGATATGTTTAAAGTGCTTTTAGTTTATTTATGATTGTTTATCTCAGCATTTTTTCCTGAACTATCATTATCAGTTACTTCAGTGCATGCCAAAATGAGCCAAAACTGAAGATTGTACACACTCTCTTGACTATATCCGCGCATTCTACACCTGCCAGCATCTTTAATGTGTTTGTGTGTGTGCTGCAGATTACTGCGCTGCATTCTGCACTCCTAGCGTGCCGCTGTCGGCCTATCTGAACACCGTCGGAGAGAAACTCAACCCTGGGATTGACATTCTCTGGACAGGTAATGTCATCACCTTAGAGACTCAAATGTCAGGGTTTGTCAGTGACATTTATCTGCTCACATTTATGCACTTGGCTGACATGAAAGAGATGTGAATGCACAATGACAGATGAAAACAGAAAAGCATGAATGCATGACTTTAAACCTGAGCTGAAAACAGAAACGCATGGTCGTATGAATGTAAATTAAAACTTAAAAATGCATGAATGCTAAAGAGATCATCTGAAGTTAAAACAAAAATGCATGCACGCATAAGGAACATTGTGAACACACAAAACAGAAATGCATAATGTCAGGCCTTACCTGAAAGCAGAAATGCAGAAATGCTTAGTGCACAGTGTGTTTTCACACATCTGAAATAGAAACAAAAGGTGCATGTTTATGTTAATCTACACCAAACACAGACATGCATGAATTAATGACATTTCTATATGAACTCAAAACAAAAATGCACAAAAGCATAATGAAAGATCTGCACTAAAAATAAATGCATTATGGTAATCCTGAAGTGAAAATAAAAAGTGCATGGATGCATTAAGGTTACAAATCAACTAAAAGACAGAAATGCATAATGATAATCTTAACTGACTCTATTTTATTAATATACACTCTTAAATCAAATATAAAATCATAAACGCATTAATATACACTCTTAAATTAAATATAAAATCAATTATGCATTAATATACACTCTTAAATAAATTATAAAATCAATTATGCATTAATATACACTCTTAAATCAAATATAAAATCATAAACGCATCAATATACACTCTTAAATTAATTATAAAATCATAAATGCGTCAATAAACACTCTTAAATTAATTATAAAATCAATTATACATTAATATACACTCTTAAATTAATGATAAAATCATAAATGCATCAATATACACTCTTTAATTAATTATAAAATCAATTATACATTAATATACACTCTTAAATTAATTATAAAATCATAAATGCATCAATATACACTCTTAAATTAATGATAAAATCATAAATGCATTAATATACACTCTTAAATTAATTATAAAATCATAAATGCATCAATATACACTCTTTAATTAATTATAAAATCAATTATACATTAATATACACTCTTAAATTAATTATAAAATCATAAATGCATCAATATACACTCTTTAATTAATTATAAAATCAATTATACATTAATATACACTCTTTAATTATAAAACCATATATGCATCAATATACACTCTTTAATTAATTATAAAATCAATTATACATTAATATACACTCTTTAATTATAAAACCATATATGCATCAATATACACTCTTAAATTAATTATAAAATCATAAATGCATCAATATACACTCTTAAATTAATTATATAATCAATTATGCATTAATATACACTCTTAAATTAATTAAAAAAACATAAATGCATCAATATACACTCTTAAATTAATTATAAAATCATAAATGCATCAATATACACTCTTAAATTAATTATAAAATCATAAATGCATCAATATACACTCTTAAAATAATTATATAATCAATTATGCATTAATATACACTCTTAAATTAATTATAAAATCATAAATGCATCAATATACACTCTTAAATTAATTATATAATCAATTATGCATTAATATACACTCTTAAATTAATTATAAAATCATAAATGCATCAATATACACTCTTTAATTAATTATAAAATCAATTATACATTAATATACACTCTTAAATTAATTATAAAATCATAAATGCATCAATATATACTCTTAAATTAATTATAAAATCAATTATACATTAATATACACTCTTAAATTAATTATAAAATCATAAATGCATCAATATACACTCTTAAATTAATTATAAAATCATAAATGCATTAATATACAATCTTTAATTAAATATAAAATCATAAATGCATCAAAACACACTCTTAAGTCTAATATAATGCACACTTAAATCAAATGTAAAATCATAAATGCATGAATACTCAACTATAAATCTTAACAAAAGCACAAATGCATAAGAGTAAATGTAATTTTGCGTGAGAGCTGCAGGAGAATGATGCCGTGTTTTCTGTGCTGTGTTTGCGTCCTCCCCCTCAGGGCCCAAGGTGGTTTCTCAGGACATCAGTGTGGCTTCTATAGAGGAGGTTTCCGCGGTGTTGCGGAGACCGCCGGTGATCTGGGACAACATCCACGCCAATGACTACGACCCCCAGAGACTGTTTCTGGGACCCTACAAGAACCGGCCCACAGAACTCATCCCCAAACTCAGAGGCGTCCTCACAAACCCCAACTGTGAATTTGAGCCCAATTTTGTGGCTCTTCACACTCTGGCCACATGGTGCAAATCCAGCAGCGCGCCGAAGGACGTGTCTATGGGTATGAATACAGCGATAAAACATAAATGCAGATGATAATCATCATATTTTCACTATTACTGAAGTGTGTCTGTCTGTGAATGATGCCACAGATGGAGACGATCAGGGGTCAGACTACAACCCCCATGAGGCTTTGCAGCTAGCGCTCACTGATTGGTTGGTGGAGTTCGGCAGAGCTGAGCAACCTGATGGTAAAACACATCTGACTGAGTTATAATCGTTATTTACTGGTCATTAACATTCATTTGTGTTTATTTAAATATTTAATTAAACTGAAACAAAACTAAAAGTTAAATATTTATTATATTTACATATTAATATAAATAACATAATATTAAACTATTATTGACAATATTAAACCAAATAAATAATATTATTATAAACTTAATGATAATTAATATAAATCTCTATTAATCAGAAATGAAAAGGGGGGAAAATATATATATATATATATATATATATATATACATTAATTATATTAATATTATTTATAATATAATTTAATACTATAATTTTATTATTATTTTGTCTTTACTACAATCTAATTTTTCTTTTCAATGCTTTGAAATTTTTAAAATTAAATATTAATAAAAAACTGAATATGAATTTGAATATTCTTTTAATTTAAATAAAAAAAATTATTTCAAATATTAAATTTTATTTGATTTTGAATATTTATTTGAATTGTAATATTTATTAGATTTTGAATGAATTTGAATATTTATTTGAATTTGAATATGAAGTTGAATTGAATTTGATTATTTATTTGAATTTAAATATTTATTTGAATATGAATTTGAATATTTATTTAATTTTTAATATTTATTTGAATTTAAATATTTATTTTATTATGAATATGAATTTTAAATTGAATTTGAATATTTATTTAAATTGAATTTGAATATTTATTTAAATTAGAATATTTGAATTTGAACATTTTTTTGAATTTAAATATTTATTTGATTCAAATATTAATTCAATTTTAAATATTTATTTGATCTTGAATATTTATTTGAATTTTTTATTTGAATATTTATTTGGATTTGAATATTTATTTAATTTTGAATATGAATTTGAATATTTAATTAAATATTTATTATATTTTTAAATATGCACTTGAATTGAATATTTATTTGAATTTGAATATTGATTATATTTTAAATATGAATTTGAATATTTATTTGATTTAAATGTGAATTTAATAAAATATTTATTTGATTTAGAATTTTTATTTGAATTGAATATTTATTAGATTTTGAATATGAATTTGAATATTTATTTGAATATTTTATTTGAAAATGAATTTAAATAGAATTTGAATATTTATTTAAATTTGAATATTTATTTGATTTGAATACTTATTTGAATTTGAATATTTATTTCATTTTGAATATGAATTTAAAATTTTATTTGAATATTTATTTGATTTAAATATGAGTTTAATTTAAATATTTATTTAAATTTTAATATTTATTTGATTTAGAATTTTTATTTGATTTGGAATATTTATTTGAATTAGATTTTTTATTTGAATATTTATTTGAATTTGAATATTTATTTAATTTTGAAGATGGTTTTGAATATTTAATAGATTTCGAATTTGCATTTGAATTGAATATTTATTTGAATTTGAATATTTAATAGATTTTGAATTTGCATTTGAATTGAATATTTATTTGAATTTGAATATTTATTTGAATATTAATTTAAATATGAATTTGAATATAAATTTGCATATGCATATAACAGGATTGCTCCTGAAATGAAGACGCGATGGGTCTGCTGGTGTGGTGCATTATGGGAGTTGTTGTTGTTGTGTGTTAAGGCTCCGGGCGCTGCAGACGGGAGGTTAGTGAAGAAGAGCCGATGCAGACGGAGGGCCACACACCGGGGCCTCGAGACAACCCGCTGTACACCGCAGAACCACTGACACTGGCTGACCTCACACTGCTGGCTGAGCTCTTCTATCTGCCCTATGAACACGGACACACTGCTACACACATGCTGGAGGAGCTACACTGGCTGCGCACACACACACTGGATGAGGAGGAGGTCAGAGAACACATACACACACACACACATCATAAAGTACAGGACAGTTGTGAGATATGAATGCATTATGAACGCCTCTGTAAATGCAGTGTGTTGTGTTGTGTTGTCGTGCAGGGTTGTGCGTGGCGTGTGCGTGCGCAGCAGTTTGATGATCGCTGCGCTGCTGTGGTGCAGATGTTCAACAGACTCTCTAACGCCCCCAACAGGCTGATCCTCTACGACCTCTACAACTACATCTGCGACATCAAGAGCGGCGTCACCATGGCCAAAGCCTACGTCAAGACTCTGGGTACAGATCTGTGTGTGTGTGAGAGAGTGTGTGTGCATGTGAGTGAATGAGTGTGTGTGAGAGATAGAATGTGTGTGTGTCAGAGCGAGAGACAGGGAGTGTGTTTGTGTGTGTGTGTGTGTGTGTGAATGTATGTATGTGAGACAGAGTATGTGTGCGTGTTTGAGAATGAGTGTGTGCATGTGAGTGAATGATTGTGTATGAGAGATAGAATGTGTGTGAGTGTGTCAGAGCGAGGGAGAGTGTGTATTTTTGTGTGTGTGTGTGTGTGTATGTGAGACATAGTTTGTGTGGGAGAGAGTGTGTTTGTGTTTGAGAATGAGTGTGTGCTGCTGAGTGAAAGTGTGTGTAAATGTATCAGAGCGAGGGAGAGTGTGTGTGTGTGTGTGTGTGTTTGTGTGTAAGAGAGAAAGAGGCAGAGTGTGTATGTTTGTGTTTGAGAATGAATGTGTGCAGGTAAATAAATGAGTGTGTGTGAGAGAATGTGTGTGTGTGTGTGTGTGTTAGAGAGAAAGTGTATGTGTATTTGCATATGTGAGAGAAAGTGTGTATGTGTGTGTGTGTGTGTAAGAGAGTGGGAGGTTGTGAGTGTGTGTGTACTGAAGTGTGTGTGTGTGTGTGTGTGTGTTTCAGGAGGTCAGACTCCTCACCCTGCTCTGGCTCTGACTGATGACCCGGAGCCGTGGGGCTTCAGAGGAGGTCTGTCAGGAGAATTCCAGGTGTGTTTCTGTGTGACCTTTGACCTGCTACTCACCCTGAGCTCCTGAGGAGGATGATGATGATGATGATGATGATGTGTGTGTGTGTGTGTGTGTGTGTGTTTATGATGTTTAGCGAATGCTGCCGTCTCACGGGAACCGCGATCTGTTCCGCAGCCCTCCGGCCACACGAGTCTACACCATCAGACCCTGCACTCCCAAAGACCAGGTGACACACACACACACACACACACGCACACACACACACACACACACACACACACCCTTCGGCGTAGTCCCTTTATTCATTAGGGGTCCCCACAGTGAAATGAATCGCCAACTATTCCAGCATATGTTTTACACAGCTACAACCCTTCCAGCTGCAACCCAGTACTGGGAAACACCCATACACACTCATTCACACACACACCCATACACACTCATTCACACACACACACACACACACACACACACACTCATACACTGCGGCCAGTGTAGTTGATCAGTTCCCCTATAGCGCATGTGTTTGGACTGTGGGGGAAACCGGAGCACCCGGAGGAAACCCACACCAACACGGGGAGAACATGCAAACTCCACACAGAAACACCAACTGACCCCTGATAAATAAAGGGATTAACTCGAATATATAAATAAATGGATGATCTGATGAGCAGTAAGGGAGTTAATAATCATACCCGTGTCTGTCTTCCTCTCCAGCCGGAGGTGATGAAGATCTTTAAGCAGATGCAGACTGAGACGCAGCAGAAGGTGGAGCTGGTCGGCGACCGGTGAGAATGCTAGATAGTGTGCTCCGTTAATGAACTGGACCCCTGCACTCACTCCTGTTTCTCCGCCAGGTTGGTGGAGGGTCAGATGATGCCGTCGCAGAACTGCAGTCTGATTCTGGACGATGCTTCTGGAGTTTGTGGATATGCTTTCGCTCTCAGCGATGCGAAGACGGCCATGAATAAATCTCAGGTACAGAAGGGCGCCTGTTATGCAGAAATCACTTTAATAAGGAGTTTAACCCTGGTGTGTGTCAGCAGTGTGTGAATATCTCCAGCCTCCAATGATCAACATGAATTAACTATAGTTTGATTGACATTCCCCCTTTGTACAAGTCATCAGAGGGGGAAAGCCCCGCCCACTAGTGCCTGTCTCTCTACCTCATTAGCATAATCAGCAGCCCTGAGTAAGAAGCAGCCATCTGTCCATTAGCCATTAGAGTGTTTGAGCTGCTGAAGATAATGTCAGCATAGACTAAGAGGATTATAGATGTGGAGTTCTAGATGAACAGCGACAGGAGCCACATAGACTGACAGAAGCTGTTTTACATCTGTCACTATGTTTATGCATATGCACTTCTAGCTCCGCCCTCTTCTGAAAAGAGCACAATCTCATTTGCATTTAAAGCAACAGTCACCAAAACACCACAATTAGGATCAAAGCCTGAAAGGGGGAGTTTCAGAGAGCTGCAGAACATTATCTGTGTCATACTTTCAGCTCAAACTTCACTAAAACACTCTATATATCTGAGACTAAATGTTAACGAAATAATAAGACGCTGTATATTGCCTATGATATCTATATTGTACATGGTTATAATCAAAATATACTGAATTACTGAATATCTGCACATGTCTAGTATCCAGAGACCATGCTGCAGGATTATCCATCAGTCATTGCTCTTCAGATCCACTCGAAAGTTCCCGACCACAGCGCAGCCAAGCGTCTGATTCTCCAGCTGCTGTCAGCGCTGAGAGACAGCGGTGAGTTTAACAACACCTCCGCCAACAGGAAATGCATATTAGTGCTACGTCTACTATAGTCCACCACCTGTGTGTTTTTCTCAGGGTCTAAAGGAGTTTTTAGCGAGTTCAGATCCAACGACAGACGAATGCTGGACTTCCTGAAGACGCTGAACGTGTTTCAGGTGCTGAAAGTCGACGGTCTGCCAGCAAACCTGGTCATCATGGGAACTAAACTCTGACACCTGCACATAAACACCCCATTCAACACAATACTCTGATCAAAACACTGATTCTGTACCTGAAATCCATCAGGAATAGGCCTATTAGAGTGGAAAACATGCATTATTAATAAATTATAAATGAATTATAAACTCCAGAAAGGGTCGGGACACTCAAAAATGAATATTAATAAAGTTTATTTGCATATGCATTTAAATATGCACGTCTCTGCATTAACTTTTAATTACGGTCATGAATCAAACAATATTATATAAAGATCTCCAGTGTTGTTCATACACTTAAAAAACACACTAAAACAACTCGTGTGATTGTAACACTTTAGAGTAAGCTTCATCTGTTAACAGTTTATATATATATATATATATATATATATATATATATATATATATATATATATATATATATTAATAATTTAATAATACAGTTGTGTTTGTGTATTATATTATGCTATTAATTTTTTATAGTTTAGATGTTCTGTATGTGTGTATCACATATGCATAATAATTATATATAATATAAATATATATATATAATACACACACATGTATTATGTCAAAACAAACTTAAATTTATATATATATATTTCAACAATGAATAATAGAGTTGACTTTGTGTATATATAATTCTCTATATATTTTAGTCATTATGTTGTGAGTTATGTGAACAGATAGGATCTTATTTTAAAGTGTTTCCACTATAATAGGTTTTGAGGTTTTGTAGTTTTTTTTAATAATAAAGGCAAATCATTTGTTAAGACTGTTCCTGGAATTCCTCTCATTATTCTCCAGTGCATTTCTTCTGTTTGTTTAGAGGATTCCTCTATTATTGCATCTGTTCCCCGTAGTTTCAGTCCCCTGAGCTTCTGTAGTGTTTCGTGTCCCACACGAAGACGCTCGTCTGTACAAACATCGTATGTTAAATTTTTGGACTGATCTGGTGCATCTATAGAGACGGAGCACATTTAGACCACACCCCCTCACACTAGCCACACCCCCTCTATTGAGTTTGCATTGGAGAAGCTCCGCCTCCTTGTAATTTCTGACTCATTAAACAGAATGATGTCTAATAATCTCCTGCTCCAATGAAAAGTCAATAGAGAGTGCTGAAAGGTGCTTTTAAAAGTAATATATTATAATCTTGATCCTAAAAAATAAAATGAAATAAAAATAAATAAAATTTCACATTACTTTCCTTCTTTTCGTAACACATTTGGTTACTTGTGTAAAGAATTGACTGAAGATTGTAATATATGAGTTTTAAAAGTAACTGAATTGCTCCGCCCTTGTGTGGGCGTGGCTATGACTCCGCCTCTATATAAACTCCAGCCCTTCATATTTGACGTCTGCGATCTTGGTGTCGGGCAGCAGTATCCGGCCGTCGAGTGTAAATGCGGTGATGTACGTGGCGATGTTTCCCGCGTCCTCCTCAGATTTCAGCGCTAGGATAATCTGGTCGTCGGTGTCCGGGATGAACTTGAAGGAGGAGAAGCCGAGCGTGGGCTTGAGCGGGCCGACACGAGATGCAGAGATCCTGCTGAAGTCTGAGGAGCAGCGCAGAATCAGGTTTGTGCCGCGACGCTCGTCTGCCGTTTCATCGTAACGCTCTGAACTCGCTCGCCGTGGGAGGAAGAACCATCTCTGCAGACGCTCGCTCCACACCGCTGACTCGTGGATCAGATAACCTGATAAACACACACATCACATTTATATAATCAGGGTCAAATTTAAGACTTTTGAAGACCATTAAGAAGCTAATTTCAGACTTATACGGGCTAAACGGTAAGGATTTTTTTTTAATGGCATGGTTGGGCCAATGAAAAAGATGTTAAATTGCCTCATGAAAACCATTTTAATTTATTTTAAATGTGTCACAACAAGCAAAATCTAGTTAAAACATTTACAAAACTATAATAAACTAAATGTATGCACAAGAGTCTGCACAAAGAGACTTTTGAATGTTTTTTTAAGACCCCGTGGACACCCTGATAGTATACATACATATATATATATATATATATATATATATCTGAAATTATATTACTATGCTTTTTAGACAGTACATATTATAAACATTTATATCATCTTACATCTGTTATATTATTTTTGGTGTATCCTCTTAAGGCCCAAGGTGTGTTTTTTACATGCATTTTTTATTTCTATTTGCTATTTGGGACATTTAGAGAAAAATGGTGTCCATATATGTGGACTCGTGGTCCGAATTTACATAAACCATTTTTTTCAAAATGTTTTTTAATGCATATTTAACATACAATTTTTTTAAAAACTATTTTTTCCCCATTTTGGACAGTTAAAATAGAGTTTGGGACATTTCATATGCTGCAAAACATGTACTGTATGTCTGTTACAAAATATAAAAGTATTTTAAATAGCCACTTAAGCCCTAGGAGGTTTTATATATATATATATATATATATATATATATAGAGTATGTTAACCCTGAAATGAGAGAAACTCTGGGTTTTCTGTTTCAAAATGGCAGGTTTGTCAGATTTGAGAAAGCAGGGTAAGTCGAGTCTGTTTCTGAAAAAGAGGTAACTTAAACTCAGAATCAGTTACCGTGGTCAATTACTCTGTGAACCTAACCTGGTCTGGAGCAGGGTTTATTCTCTAAACTCTTGAGTTTCTGCCGGTCTCCTCCGAAGAGGTATTTCTGGCCTTAGCTGTAGTGTATACCCGAACCGTACCGCACTGTACCAGTCAGTGGAAACGAGCCATTAGAGCACAGGTGTCAAACTCAGTTCCTCGAGGGCCGCAGCTCTGCACAGTTTAGTTCCAACCCTAATTAAACACACCTGATCAAACTAATTGAGTCCTTCAGGCTTGTTTGAAACCTACAGGTAAGTGTGTTGGAGCAGGGTTGGAACTAAACTGTGCAGGGCTTCGGCCCTCCAAGAATTGAGTTTGACACCCCTGCATTAGAGGAATAACCCTGATTTTCAAAATATAAATAATTAATAATTTAAATAATTTTCTAAAATATATTTATACGTTTCACCAATTGTCTTTTATGTTTATATGTGGAGTGGATTTTGCATTGTATATCATGAGAAATATTTCAAAGGGATAGTTCATTAAAAATGTTTTTATTCTGTCCTCATTTTCCTCATTCTCCATTAATACAAATTCCTCTGTTAAACATAAAGGGAGATATTTTGAAAAATGCTGGAAAAAACATTGTGTTTTTTGTTCCTACTACGCAAGTCAAAGGCTGTTTTATCCAACATTCTTCAGAATATCTTCATTTGTGTTCAACAGAAGAAAGAAACTCATTGAAATTTACAACCTCTTGAGTGTGAGTAAATATTGAGGACATTTTAATTTTTGGGTGCACGGTCCCTTTAAGTATAACATCACAGCCCCTGTGGTCATGTGATCACCTCTCAAAGTGAGTGTGTGTTTGTGTGTGTGGTCTAACCTGGAGGTTTGATGTCTGCTGCCCTCTTCAGTGCGCTGTACCGCGGTACCCAGTTCTCATGCTCCACGTCACCATGGAAACCAACCACCTTCACCCATTCTGGGTTATTATTGACGAACTCGCCGGTGATAGTGGTCCACTCCTTACCGAGACCACCAACATACAGACGCTCGTCCTTCACCGCCATCCACTCCGCCTTAAAACCTGACACCAGTGTCAAAGGTCACACATATGAGGAAGCAGTAAAGCAGCACTGCATCATAACATTGAGGCTGTATCCAAAATCAATCACCCCTATACCCTTAATAGTGCACTACTTGAGGGAGCAGCCATTTTTAATGGTGTCGGAAACCATATTGTACATTCTGAAGTGCACTCAATCAATCCCATAATACACCACAATAACTAGAGTACAACCCATGCACACTCGACAGCTAGTAATACTCAAAATGCACTGGGAGAGTTTGCGCTCCAAATGAATTTCCACAACTGACCACAAGATGGAGACTATATAGCGGAATCCTATTGGTGTACGTTACAAATTAACACATTATTTATTTAAAGTAGCGTTTGTATAAAGACAGACATCACAATATTTTCAGAATTCATAATGGACAGCTGGCTGAGTGTTAACTATCACAGGGTCTGAACAAGAAGATGATAATATCTGTCATCTGTCGAAGTTATTTTCAGGTTACGTTCTGGTTATCTTAAGATTATGTTCTGGTTATCTTTAGGATATGTTCTGGTTATATTAAGATTATGTTCTGGTTATCTTTAGATTATGTTCAGGTTATCTTCAGGTTATGTTCTGGTTATCTTCAGGTTATGTTCCGATCATCTTCAGGTTATGTTCTGGTTATATTAAGATTATGTTCTGGTTATCTTAAGGTTATGTTGTGGTTATCTTCTGGTTATGTTCTGGTTATCTTCAGGTTATGTTCCGATCATCTTCAGGTTATGTTCTGGTTATCTTCAGGTTATGTTCCGATCATCTTCAGGTTATGTTCTGGTTATGATCAAATTATGTTCTGGTTATCTTCAGGTTATGTTCTGGTTATCTTTAGGTTATGTTTTGGTTATCTTCAGGTTATGTTCTGGTTATCTTTAGGCTTTGTCTTGGCTTTATTCAGATTTTGTTCTAGTTATCTTCAGGTTATTTTGAGGTTAACTTCACTTATAAAGCAAGCCGTTTTCTTTTAGCTGTCCTTGTTCATGGACAGCACTTTTCATCCCGCCATTCTACTTCTCTTTCTGTTTTTTTGATTGTTTCAGTTCTGAATTTTAAACTAAAAGAACTAAAAAAATAAAAAAAAAATAAAAAGCCTGACTGCATTCGTTTGCACTAAAAAATTAATCCTGTAATCCTGAGTTTGTTTAGCCGGCATCATGGAACAGGCCCTAGTTTATTATTTTTAATGTTAGTTTTACCTTTAGATACGCTGCCGTCTCCATCTGTCAGAATGACCCATGGCACGGCACGGTTCCCCTCAATCCGGTACACCACACCGGTACGGTCATCCACACTGTACAAGTGTCCGTTAAACGCCACCAGTTCGGAAAGCTCCATCCCGCGGCCCTTCTCCGACAGATGGCTCTCCAGAGCCACAGTATTTGGATCCCACTCCACCGAAACACTGTCTCCGCTCTCCGACACCAGAACATGTCCTCTTTTTAAATAACTGAACCACGTATTGTCCTTTTTACTGCGCGAGTTTGTGTCCAGATCTGCTATGACTGCGATACGGTAGCGGATCCCGTTGGCTGTGTGTTCTGGAGGGCTGAGTGGATACGTGTCGTTATACTGTGTCCCGATTGGCTCTGCATCCACCATTGCACCAGAGACATCCCGACTGGATCTCCATGAGCGTGGGCTGTTCTCAGGGGCGTCCGATCCGTGGTCAGTGGATGTGTGGTGCTGAAACAACAGGACGGCTAATGCTAGTAGTGCCGCCACACCGATGGCCCGCCACCGGAAACGGAAACGCGGATCAGAGACGGAGTTGGTCATGGAGGAGAACATGGAGGAACCGTGAACTGAAGCCCGCGAGGAACTCATGGAGTCGCGGCTCTCGGCTGATGGAGAGAAGAAGAAAAGAGAAATTCCTTAATAAAAATGTTGAGTTTGTTATTAAATAAAATCAATAAAAATGAGTTTAAGTTTTTCTTATAAACTAGAAGATGAACTGTAATTAGAAGATGAAAATAAAAGTGTACACCAAACTTTACACTTTTATTCTGTCTATATTCTGATCACACACACCAAACTTTACACTTTTATTCTGTCTATATTCTGATCACACACACCAAACTTTACACTTTTATTCTGTCTATATTCTGATCACACACACCAAACTTTACACTTTTATTCTGTCTATATTCTGATCACACACACCAAACTTTACACTTTTATTCTGTCTATATTCTGATCACACACACCAAACTTTACACTTTTATTCTGTCTATATTCTGATCACACACACCAAACTTTACACTTTTATTCTGTCTATATTCTGTCCACACACACCAAACTTTACACTTTTATTCTGTCTATATTCTGTCCACACACACCAAACTTTACACTTTTATTCTGTCTATATTCTGATCACACACACCAAACTTTACACTTTTATTCTGTCTATATTCTGTCCACACACACCAAACTTTACACTTTTATTCTGTCTATATTCTGATCACACACACCAAACTTTACACTTTTATTCTGTCTATATTCTGATCACACACACCAAACTTTACACTTTTATTCTGTCTATATTCTGATCACACACACCAAACTTTACACTTTTATTCTGTCTATATTCTGATCACACACACCAAACTTTACACTTTTATTCTGTCTATATTCTGTCCACACACACCAAACTTTACACTTTTATTCTGTCTATATTCTGAACACACACACCAAACTTTACACTTTTATTCTGTCTATATTCTGATCACACACACCAAACTTTACACTTTTATTCTGCCTATATTCTGATCACACACACCAAACTTTACACTTTTATTCTGTCTATATTCTGAACCAATTAATCTTCTGATTATACCAAACTTTTTTAATTCTAATTTTCAACACACCAGTTAATACTTACCATCTCTTTTCTGAACGTTTATTCATATATCATTCACCTGATGAAACCTAAAAGTTCCAGGTTCCTCTGGGTTTACTCACTTTTTTAAATGAAGTAACAACACATTTCTTTATACAGTGTGGGTGAACTGTCCCTTTATACACACATGACAGTCTCCTGCTAATAAACACTGACTTCTGTATTCAGATCCTGAGTTTATATTAGTCTGAGCTATGATCAAATATCCTGACGCATGATTCCCAAATCAGATCCTTAAGCTACAGAAATGCCGATCATACCAAACTGAATATGTCTGACTGCCTGAGTCAAGCACAGATCGTTATAGCACAAAAATAAAGCACGCACATCCATGAAACATTAAATAAAATCATGCATCTCTAAACATCATCAATTATCGAGAGCTCATTAAAGGTTTTTAGGAGCAGTCATTTGCATTATACAGTGTTAATACGCATAAAATTAGTTCACTGTTCATAGATCTCTCTTTTAAAGTAGTATATTTGTGCATATACAGTAGATTAGTCAGTATTGAAGACAATCTAATGAACTAATCTAACTAAAAACTGCAGATCGCAATCCAAAAATGTATCAAAAATTAATATGTTTAGGGAAAATATTAAATAAAAACTGAATAAACAGAACAAATCAAAAGAGGAAAATTAAAAATGTTGTATTTTAACTTATTTTGCAATAACTGGTATTTAATCGTATTATCTTTCGATTTCTAAAGATGTTCACTGACTAAACTCCTATTTCATTGTAGAAAACTGTTTTTTGTGTAAATGCATCACACACACCACAACCCTCATCAGCACTACAACTGCACAAAATATTGAAAAAAATACCGTTATCGCGCTAGTTAGTATATGCAATAGTAATAGTATATGCAATATATTTGATAAATTACATTTATTTTGTACATTGGTTGTTTTAATCTTTAGCCCCGCCTCCCCAGTAGTTGCTATTCTGTTATTGGCTGAAGCCCCAAAGGTGAACCCAGAGCTGAAAATAAAAACTAGTGGGTGGAGTCGAGACGAGAAAGGAAAATGACAACAGCCAATCAGAGTCAGAATATCTGCATATCAGGTTTTCACTCATTTATAGTGTTATAAAGACAAATATTTGGAGTTTTTTTGTCTGAACTAGAATTAATAAGATCTAAAAAAATATTTCAACTGTTTATTCTAATATTAAATAAATAAATGATTTAAAAAACATAGCTAATGAAGATATTATTATTGCAAAACTAAACAACAACATTGCATATTATTCACAAAGCTCTGCACATTACAACAGTATGACTAATCTAATCTTTTGCACATTACACTGTGACTTTACCTGTGAAAGGTGGGAGATTAACTGAGTAATCAGTGAACCAGCCCTATAAAACAAGCAATTATACAACAATCACCAGTGTTATTGTAGTACTGGGGTGTAGCTGCTACAGGATACACTGCAAAAAATATCCATAAATTAGCAGTTTTCCCTATTTTGTGATTCATGTTTTTATTTTCCACGTTTAACTGTGCTTTTGAATTGCATAACAGGAGCTTGATCCTTATTCCAACAACTTTGAACAGTTGTAAAAAGATTATTTTTGTACGTGTAATAGTTTGCAGTGCTATATTGTCTGGGGTGGTGTTGTATGTTACACTACAGAAACCTTGTAATAAACTGCCAGTACATTCATTTATAAATAATATTAGGACACATTTATACTGAAATATTAAAACCACAATATCAGTAACTCAGATAAGTATCGTTTGCAGTAAATATATCTACAGTAAATGTCAACAAATAAAAGCACAAATGAGTAATAGAGACAGAGTTTATTACTATATTCTTGACCATGGAACACAAAACCAGGCAATTTTTGAATACTGAGATTTACATTTCACCTGAAAGCTTACTAAATAAACCTTCTATTCATATATGGTTTGTTAGGATAGGATCTGACTGAGATACAACTATTGTACATCTCTAGAAAATCAAAATATGGAGAAAATCTCATTTACAGTTGTTTAATTTAAGCTCTTAATACATATCACTAATCAAAAATAAAGTTTTGACATATTTGCAGTAAAAATTGTGCAAATTATCAATAATGAAACATGATCAATTATTAAACCTAATGATTATTAACATAAAAGACAGATGGACAATTTTGACCCATACACAATGTGTTTTTGGCTGTTTCTGTGCTTCCAGGTTAAAAACTGGTAAAAAGTACAGTTTATAAAAACACTTTCTATAAAACACATGGGTTTATCACAATAAAAAGAATGCCAACAGCAAAAAATGCATATAGCTTGAGATAAGTTTTTTAAGATTTACTTGAGATTTTTATATTTTTAATCTACATTTTATTAAAATATATATGAACTACTAATGATCCAATGCTTTTTGCCATAAAATAAAAATCAACAATTTTGATTTGTGGCTGGTTTTGTGGTGCTGGATCAGATTTTCAGCCATTTCAAGGATCAGCACAGGACCTCAAGGTGGGACTCAAACTTAGGTCACCATGAACACCAGAGTGCCATGTGTCGATGCACTAACCACTACACCACTGGCACCGACATGTACTCAACTTTTGAAAACATCAGTTGCACTGACCTAAAATGTCTGAAGTTGAGTGAACAAAGAAAAGATTTTGGAAATTGCTACTAAGAAATAAAACATTATCAGAACAAACAAACATAGTTCACAGTGACCCGAGTTCAATTCCCGCCTCAAGGTCCAGATCCTTTCCCTCTCTCCTCTCCCCACACTTTCCTATACTCTCTTCTGTCCTATCAATTAAAGGTGAAAAAAAAGAAGCTGAGTACACGAACACGAGAAAAAGCTAAAGGGAATAAGGACTGTTTTTGTTCACTTAACATCAGGCATTCCAGTTCTGCAGACAACACATTTTCAGTTGGCACTACAGAGAAGTTCACCTCTCCAGAAAACTAATAATCTTTTGTTAACCCAACTAAACGTATTTTGTATTACTGACAAATAATTTAAGGTCAGTGCAGCTGATGTTTTCAAAAGTTGAGTGAACCAGAAAAGCCAAAGGAAATAAGGATTATGTTTTTTTGTTGTACTGACTTTACATTTTTTAAAGTGCAGAAAAAGTATTAAAATCTACAAACAGTTTATATAAAAACTTTACTGTATAAAACAGATTTATCACAATAACAACAACAAATAACACATCAGATTAAAATCGAAAACAGTCTTCTAAGATTTACTTTAGATAAAAAAAAGATTCAAACATTTTTAAGATGAATAATTAATAAGCGTTCTGCTCTACCTTTCTTTCTGCCTCTCATGTCTGAGCTGTTGATTGAGTGTGTGTCCGAGTGTGTGTGTGTGTTTATCATCAGTTTGTCATCATCTACTGAGATCAGCGAGCCGCGCAACAGTGACGAGGCAAATCCTGAGAGCGAACGAACCCTTGCCTACTACACACACACTCACACATGCACTCTTTCTCACTCACACACTCACAAAATCATTCTCTCTCACGCAATCAAACTACACACACACACTCACTCATTCACTCTTTCTCTCTCACACACTCACAAAATCCTTCTCTCTTTCACACACACACTACACACACACATATTTATTCTCTCTCAGCAACACACACACACAATCTCTCTCTCAGACACAGTATTTCTCTCTCATGCACACACACACATTCATTCTATCATCACAAACTAAACACACACACACACACACACACACACACACACACACACATACACACTAACCTTCAGACTCTACAGATACTGTGCTTCTGTGCCAGAGGTTACAGGTAGGAGAAGAATAAATCTCTTCTTTTCTAATTTCCAAGAGTACGTAACACGTCTGTAATTCCTTCAGAAATGTGAGAGCAGGTTTATTTGTTCACAGGGGCGAGCTGCAGATTAAACCTCGCTCTAATAATGAGTCAGTGTTTTTGAGAACTCGGTGATTGTGTGTAAATCTGTGGTCGGAGACTCTATTGTGGAGAAGCTGATTTGGTTGGTAAATGATTGCAAACAGGAGTGAAATAAAAGTGCCGGCGGTGCACTAGAGCACAGTTCACCATATCTATAGTAGATTTATACACTCTGTCAGAGATTTTAAGGTAAAAAGGCATTATATGTGGGTCAAAGATGCAAGGTTAACTCTACAAAGTGATTTAGTTATTAACATGTTATTTATGTAATAAAATAATAAGTAAAAGGTAATGAACATGGTATAAAATATAACAAAGTAATTACAATTCATCTAGAATTATTAATAATAATTCATTTATTCATTTTCCTTCAGCATAGTCCATAATCCAGCATGTTTTACGTAGCGGATGCCCTTCCAGCTGCAACTCAGTACTGGAATACACCCATACACACTTACACTATGGCCAATTTAGTTTACCAATTTCCCAATAACGCATGTGTTCGGACTGTGGGGGAAACCGGAGCACCCGGAGGAAACCCACACCAACACGGGGAGAACATGCAAACCCGAACCATTGACCTTCTCACTGTGAGGCCACAGTGCTAACCACTGAGCCTCCATGTTGCCGTTAATAATAATGAATGTATTCTATATAACGCCTTTCCAGCACTCAACGATGCTTTACAACAAAAGTAGGAGGAAAAAAAACTAAAAGGTTAGAGAAAATAGCAGACTAATAATTCATAAAAGGAATAACAAAGACGAGAACAAATAGCAAAAATGAAATGAGCATTATTGACTGTAACATTCAGAAAATAAGTGAGTTTTAAGATGAAACTTAAACTTAAAAATAAAAGTTATGCAGTGAAGCATGTGTGGGGGATGAAAATAGTTTAATATAAAAAAATAATAAGTAATACACATGATATAAAATGTAAACAATAGTTACAATTACTTTAGACTTTGAATAATTAAATTAAGACAATAAATAATTTTCTAAAAAGTAATGAAATAGACATAAAAAATATTTAAAAAATAAATTTCATCAAGAATTAAATTAATTAACAGAAGAAAATTACAAGAAAAAAGTCATGAACATGGTTTAAATATAAAAATAGTTACAATTCATCTTAAAGTAATTAAATCAAAAAGTAATGAACATGGTATAAAATATAAAGAAATAATTAGAATCCATCTATAATTAAAATAATTAAATTAATATAATAATGTAATAAGTAAAAAAACTAATGAACAAGGTATAAAATATTACAATTCATCTAGAATAAAAATAATTAAATTTATTAATAAAATAAGTAAAATTAATGCAATTAATGTAATTGAAATAAAAAGAACATTACAGTTTATTCACATTTAATGGTACTTCTCTCTTTTAAATAAACTAAGTGTAATTTAAATTTTAAATAAACAAAGTTTTTTTTCCCTCACCGCTGTCGCCACTGCCTCGCATGGTTCAGGATTGGTAGAGCTACGCATCGATGAATTTGCTCTTCAGTGTTTGAACTCTCAGTAATGATTAAATCACACTGAACTGAGCTAAACTGAACTGAACTGAACTTAAACACTAAAACCTGAACCACACTGTTCCAGTTACTGAACCACACTGTTCCAGTTACTATGACCATTTATGTGAAGCTGCTTTGACACAATCTACATTGTAAAAGCGCAATACAAATAAAGCTGAATTGAATTGAACTAACCAGTGATAATTTTATATTGTAATAAAGTCATGTAATTATAAAATATTTTTGACAAAATCTAGTTTAATGTTCAGTAGCCTGTAGATCCGTGATTTACTTCAAATCTCTCTATTCTTATGATTACTAAGCTCAAATATTAACTTTTAATTGCAGGTCAGAGAGAAACCATGCAACATTTTATTATTTTAACACATTTCCCTTACTGTAGAAAAAACAATCCCTGTTTGGTTTGTGTACACTATATTTTTGTGTTTCATTTACAGGATATACACTGTAATTGTTCTGTTGTTATTGCAAACAAAAAGTATTTCCAAGCCTTCCAGTCCGGAAGTGTGTTAATCTGCGCATGCGCGAACCCTCCGCCATACACGCGATGTTTTATTTACACAAGTTACTCCAAAAACAATCACGACAACATGATAACAATTGGACATTCATGAAAAATTCAGTTTCTTCGTGTTTGTCTGAGGGTCAAAACTGTTATATTAACGTTACAACCATTACACTTGCATCACCCCAGTCTTGTCTTTAACAGTTATAAACGCGTCTAAAAGTTTATATTTTATTTTAATGACTAATGTGATGACATAACGAGGTTACTCCGAGTCCTTAGTTTTAATAAAACAGAAAACATTAGACTGAAGTAATTCCCGGCAGTTTCTGCTGAATAACCGCCGTTAACCCTTTATGAGGCGAACCCTTCCCGCTCCAAATTTCCTGCAAATAACGCTACTCACCGTGTTTCTCAGTCAGATGTAGTGGTTTAGTCCTGTGTTATAATGCGTTATTACATCCTCGCTCCATACTTCGGTACCGAACGCGCTTCCTCCGCCGTTCAGACCGAAACAGTCCTCCGCCGTTGCTGCCAACACACCGGTACCGCGAAACACCGCCTACAAGCAAAGACGCCGAAGGTTCGGTTCATGAATATTAATCACGTAAGGCCACGTTCGTTCAAGACAACTCGCTGATAGGCTGAAAGCAAGCATGGAAGAGTTCGCTGACCAATTAAAGCATCACACAGTGTGCGTGGACTAATTATTAAATATTAATTAGGTTACACAACCTAAAACTCTGGAAATATCTAAGCAACATTGAAGAATTGTAATTATTCATGAGATTAGCTTTCACCAGTATAACATTTATAATTTAGATGCAATGCATTAAGACATTGCGCTGATAGTATTATTAGCAAGGCAGAATCTGTGGACATATTTAGATTTATCTGCACATAAAATAAATAATCAGAGAATTTATGCGGAACGATTTTGAGAGTTTAGTAATTAAGAACTTAACATCAAATGTAAAGAAATATGACTTATTATTTAAAATAATACTTATTATTTAAGGCTTACAATGCAAATCCAATTAGAACCACTTGTTTGGTAAACAAAATTAGTCTCTCACATAACATATCTACTAAAAGACAGAAAATATTACTTTACAAATATTGCTACTAACTGTATTTCACATAAATCACACTGTCATTTGCATACTAATCAATATTACTGAAATGACTATAAAACTGATTACGTTTACACACATTTACATCAATGACTCAAATATGGACTAAATATCTGCAGATTTCGCTGTGTGTGCAGATTCCTTGTGGGCCTAATCATAAGTGTGTCAAAAGCAAGTTTATGAGTGTTGATATTTCCCCGTCCTCTAGAATAACACAGAGAGTGTGTTGTGTTTCAGAACAATCTCTCCATTCACAATCACAACAATCACAACAACTGTGCTCAAATCAGTGCTTTATTAACGCTTCAATCACACGCTGACACCACAGTCTGCTCCAGGAAAGCACACTTAAAGCAGCTGGTGAAGGTGATTTGCTAGTTTTACTAGTTAACAAGTGCCTTTAAAACACCAAACCAGTTCTGCGGCCGGTCCAAACCTGTTTATCCAGTCAATACAAACTCAAAACAAAGACAACAAACTGATGAACATCTTCAGCACCATTGACCCGTGTTACATTTGAACTCATTTGCATTTGAGTGTCAAATTCTGCAGTGCTTTAAGTGATTAAAACATTTAAATAACTATGAAAAACACCTTACACAAACACTTTCCTGAACACACACACACACACACACACACACACACACCAGATGGAAACACACTTCTGCTGTCTTAATGACGTTTAACATTTAATGCTAGTGTCTCATTGGAGAAAGAGTGAGGTCATTGTGAGGTCAACTCACAAGTCGGTTCCAGAGCAGTGCATTCTAGGTAATTTGGCGATCATCAACTTTTCCCGATCATCTTCAGGAGAAGCTGCAGAAGAAATTAAGCGGATCAATAATGCATAACAACTGCCTTAAAAACACATCGACTGATTTCCGCCTGATAATTTTAGTTTGATTCAGTTTGATTGGTTTTATTCATTTAGTTACAAAATTTGTTTAGTTTCATCTTATTTAATAAAAAATAATAATAAATAAAAAAAGTGTACTTTAAATTTATAATTAATCATTAATTCAAAAATTTAATCATGTATTTAACTGATAATTATAATAAATCCATTATTACAAAATTATGCAGCCCTACAGAAATGTATAAATAAAAATTGTGATTTAAATAACAATATTAATAATAAAACGTATATTACCACTAATTTTACAGTTGCAGTAAATACTATTTCATTTTTACACGGTTTTAAAGACAAATTTTACTATAGATGCTTTTGCTTCATTTCACATTAGATAAATAACAAATAATAAATAAATAAAACTATTATTTAATTAATTGCATTTTCATTTGAAATAATAAATATATTATGGCAAATTTTAGCAGTCACACAAAAAATCTTAATTTTTAAATTATATTTTTTTTAATTAATTAATTAATACTATCATAAAAAAAAAAAATATATATATATATATATATATATATATATATATATATATATAAACTTATATTGGTACTATTATTTTACAGTTGTTATGTAAATTAAAATGTCGATTTATTTTTTATTTTATTTGTTTAAAAAAATTTTTACTATATGTATATTTTTGCCTAATTGTACATTTATTAAAAATAATAAATAAATAAGTTTATTGTTAGATTCCATAATAATTAAATTAACGTAATAATTGATCATTTAAATAAATTAATAATAAATACACTATGGCAAAATTGCGCAAGCCCAACAAATTTTTTTTAAATAAAAAAATTAACTAATTAATTAAATCGCTCATAAAAACAACCTGAACTGTAAAAATTTATTTTCCGCCAGACACTGAGCATCTAACCTTGGTGAGGAGGTAATTTTCATCCACGAGTTGCTCTATGATGCTGAAGTGATCCGTTTCAGAAACGTCTTCAAAAGACACTTTAAGACCAGCAGATTCCAAAGCCTAGAAGAGAAACAAAACATCAACAATACAACACAAATCCCTGCAAATATAATGCCTGATCAATAACACAGAGAAGCAAAGATAAGTGCTACCACTACACAAACACTGCAGTACTACACTAGAACTTTGTAGATTGTTAAATAAATAAGTAATATCGCACATTATTTTCTTTGCAGATTAATTAAATGCTCTTACTTTATAATATTCCTCCGACTGTTTGCGAAACTCGGGCGAATCGTTCTGCGCCACAGCTACAGTGATGTCACAGGAAGCAGACGAGACCTTGAGCTGTGACAGGAAGCGACTGGGGCTGTTCCTTAATGCAACTTCCCTGAAAAAAACATCATTACAAACCTCTCACACTGTGCTAACCTTACTGTTTATTTGACTAAGTTTTGTTAAAGTGATTTTGGGCCAATGAGATTCCACCATGGGCGGAGCTTCACAGCAGGCCATTATTAACCCATTATAAGAGACACAAAGCAACTGATTTAGAGCTTCAAAAACAGAAGATTAATATAGTTGAGCAAAATAATGCATGTTCTCAATATCTTTAATATTAGAAAAAGAGGCTCATACTCTGTCATTTTCAGCGGCTCGTTGACATATGTGGACAGAATGGGCTGAAGATCATAGATGCCGCTCACCAGAAATGCACCTACGAGCAAAACATATCTAAATGTGAATTTAAATATCAAATTTACACTTTTGTAAGTTTAACAATGTTTTTTATTGAAATATATTATATAGAGAGCCACAGCATCAGATACACAGAATCATTAGACAACAACTGCTCCAATGTGGCGGCAGTACACAATTTGCTCACATTTTCTTTCTCTCTGAATAAAATAATACAATTACATATTCTTGCATTAAGAGAAAGAGAGAGAGAAAAAAACACAAAACAAAACAAAACAAAAATAACACACACACGCGCACACACACACGCACACACACACACACACACAACAATAATAATAATAATAATAATAATAATAATAATAATTAAGAAGAAAAAGAAGATAGAAAAAAAACATTATAGATAAAAGTAACACATAATAGGTTAAACACAATACAGAGAATATATAAATACAAATACACAAAGAGTACAGCAGTAAAAAATAAATTAATAAAAAAATAAATAATAATAATAAAAATAATTAAAAATTAAAATAAAAAAGTAAAATAATAATAATATTAATAATAATAATCAATTAAAATAATAATTAAAATAAAATTAAATAAAATACATAAATAGATAACAAAAAATAAAAAACACACTCTCCATTCATAACTAATCCAGGGGCAGGGAAAATAAGTCAGCTTTATTTATTATTTTTATTTTTAAAGTGTAAGAGGAAGAGTTGCCAGTATTACCGCAAACTGTATTTCTAATATTCTAATGTACACTTTTAAATCTATGAAGAGATTGTACTATTTTCTTCTGTTTATACACACATCAGTTTAAAAAATTTTACATATGATCACCAGGCGTTTGAGGAAGGTTTATTTCCAGAACCTTTACTTTCTCTGTTCCTCCATAATGAATGATCTTCTAGATCATCTAAATTATCTTACATATTCTGACAAATTTCCATAATTTTACTGCATCATACAATCAACAGTTGAAAAAGATCAATAATGTGGCTAATTAAAAAAATTATGGCATAAATTAATTTAATTAATAAATACTAACAATGATAATAATAAAGTATTAATAATGAAATAAAGTAATAAATAAACACTAAATTAATAATGTTTGTTATTATCTAAATATGGGTGTCGTTTTATATTTTCATTTTGTCTTTTGAGAAAGTTTTATTTCCAGAACCTTTACTTTCTCTGTTCCTCAGCGGTGAATGATCTGCTAGATCCTCTAAAAGATCTCAAATAATTTGATGAATTTCCATAATTTTACTTAATTAAACAGTCAAAATTTTGTATATTTAAAAAATGTTAAATAATTAATAAACACTGAGTCAATAATGTATGTTATTAAATAATGGTATTGCTTAATATACATTTTGGTTTTAGGTCAACTTTGATGAAAGCCATCAAATATTAAACAAGATGCAAACTTTGCATCTCCAAGATGTACCTTTGATTTGCGGTGATACGTCATATTGTGTCCAGTCAGTGGACAGAACCATGGCTGCTAGATGAGCTCCTGCTGAATGACCACACAGGTAAAGTCCACTGCAGAAACAAACACCATTACAGTTACATTATCAGGTACTGATTACAAATCACATGACAGAAACAACAGTCAGTATGGACTGGTCCAGCTATGACAATGTTATCAGACTATTTTTGGATATCATATTGATTACATTTGTGCTCTTTTGTAGATTACATCAAAGAGCTTAGAATGACCAAGAGGCGACGCTCAGTAGAGAGTTCCATTGCAACATCAGCGCCCAGCAACAGCCTCGCGATTCCACCATTTTGGAGTGAAAGCGATCTGCGATCAGCCGTCCATTGGATCTTATTGCTATTGCTTATTGCTAATAAAGCTTTTATGTAAAAAGCCACAATATCCAAAATCATTGAATTTTGACACAAATTCATCATATGCACATACACGTCTATATTAATATGTTATATGTCTCCTGATCTGAATTTAGTTAAATACATATGGGGAATTCTGAAGAGACATCAAGTTGAGCATCTCTAAAAGAGGGTCATTTTTGAAGATTGGAAAAGATAGATGCTGCAATACTAAAATTAGTCGTAGTTTTCATTGAGATATTGTTTAAAATGTTGCTTTACAAAGGGGGTGAATGAATATATAATATTTAAGTCAGATTTAACTTAATATTGTAACTCATTCTGTCAAGTGTTTGTTATCCATGCTGTTGTTCTATTGTAATTTTCATACCGCTTGACACTAGCAGCAACAGACGAAAAAGCAAACAGCAACAGACTGTCGCCTCCTGGTGATTGTATGCTCTTTGATTACATTTAGATTACTTTTGTGCTCATGGTACATTACTTTTGGATTAGATTTGTGCTCCTATGTGGATTATATTTAGATTACTTTTGTGTTTTATGGTACATTACTTTTGGATTACATTTTTGCTCTTAAGTAAATTACATTTAGATTACTTTTGTGCTTATGGTACATTACTTTTGGATTTTATTTGTGCTCCTATGTAGATTACATTTGTGCTCCTATGTGGATTACATTTAGATTACTTTTGTGCTCTTTGGTACATTACTTTTGGATTACATTTGTGCTCCTATGTGGATTACATTTAGATTACTTTTGTGCTCTTTGGTACATTACTTTTGGATTATATTTGTGCTCCTATGTGGATTACATTTAGATTACTTTTGTGCGTTTTGGTACATTACTTTTGGATTATATTTGTGCTCCTTATGTGGATTACATTTAGATTACTTTTGTGCTCTTTGGTACATTACTTTTGGATTACATTTGTGCTCCTATGTGGATTACATTTAGATTACTTTTGTGCTCTTTGGTACATTACTTTTGGATTATATTTGTGCTCCTATGTGGATTACATTTAGATTACTTTTGTGCGTTTTGGTACATTACTTTTGGATTATATTTGTGCTCCTTATGTGGATTACATTTAGATTACTTTTGTGCTCTTTGGTACATTACTTTTGGATTACATTTGTGCTCCTATGTGGATTACATTTAGATTACTTTTGTGCTCTTTGGTACATTACTTTTGGATTATATTTGTGCTCCTATGTGGATTACATTTAGATTACTTTTGTGCGTTTTGGTACATTACTTTTGGATTATATTTGTGCTCCTTATGTGGATTACATTTAGATTACTTTTGTGCTCTTTGGTACATTACTTTTGGATTACATTTGTGCTCCTATGTGGATTACATTTAGATTACTTTTGTGCTCTTTGGTACATTACTTTTGGATTATATTTGTGCTCCTATGTGGATTAGATTTAGATTACTTTTGTGCGTTTTGGTACATTACTTTTGGATTATATTTGTGCTCCTTATGTGGATTACATTTAGATTACTTTTGTGCTCTTTGGTACATTACTTTTGGATTACACTTGTGCTCCTATGTGGATTACATTTAGATTACTTTTGTGCTCTTTGGTACATTACTTTCGGATTATATTTGTGCTCCTATGTGGATTACATTTAGATTACTTTTGTGCGTTTTGGTACATTACTTTTGGATTATATTTGTGCTCCTTATGTGGATTACATTTAGATTACTTTTGTGCTCTTTGGTACATTACTTTTGGATTACATTTGTGCTCCTATGTGGATTACATTTAGATTACTTTTGTGCTCTTTGGTACATTACTTTCGGATTATATTTGTGCTCCTATGTGGATTACATTTAGATTACTTTTGTGCGTTTTGGTACATTACTTTTGGATTATATTTGTGCTCCTTATGTGGATTACATTTAGATTACTTTTGTGCTCTTTGGTACATTACTTTTGGATTACATTTGTGCTCCTATGTGGATTACATTTAGATTACTTTTGTGCTCTTTGGTACATTACTTTCGGATTATATTTGTGCTCCTATGTGGATTACATTTAGATTACTTTTGTGCGTTTTGGTACATTACTTTTGGATTATATTTGTGCTCCTTATGTGGATTACATTTAGATTACTTTTGTGCTCTTTGGTACATTACTTTTGGATTACATTTGTGCTCCTATGTGGATTACATTTAGATTACTTTTGTGCTCTTTGGTACATTACTTTCGGATTATATTTGTGCTCCTATGTGGATTACATTTAGATTACTTTTGTGCTCATGGTACATTACTTTTGGATTAGATTTGTGCTCCTATGTGGATTACATTTAGATTACTTTTGTGCTCATGGTACATTACTTTTGGATTAGATTTGTGCTCCTATGTGGATTACATTTAGATTACTTTTGTGCTCTTTGTTACATTACTTTTGGATTACATTTGTGCTCCTATGTGATTACATTTAGATTACTTTTGTGCTCTTTGGTACAATACTTTTGGATTACATTTGTGCTCCTATGTGATTACATTTAGATTACTTTTGTGCTCTTTGGTACATTACTTTTTGATTACATTTGTGCTCCTATGTAAATTACATTTGTGCTCCCATGTGGATTACATTTAGATTATTTTTGTGCTCTTTGGTACATTACTTTTGAATTAGATTTGTGCTCCTATGTAGATTTTATTTGTGCTGCTATATAGATTACATTTTTGCTCCTATGTAGATTACATTTAGATTACTTTTGTGCTCTTTGGTACATTACTTTTGGATTACATTTTTACATTTGTGCTCCTATGTGATTACATTCAGATTACTTTTGTGCTCTTTTGAACATTACCTTTGGATTACTTTTAGATTACTTTTCTGCTCAAATTAAGTGCATTTAGAAAACAGCAACATTACAAAATACAATATTGGAAAAACATTAAATTCACAGCAATATCACTGCAACAATAAATATTTAATTTGTTATTAAAGTGCCTGGTTTATTATAAAAAATACAAACTTTAATAAAACAGTAAAAAGGATGAAAATTTATGAATTGTGAACTACTTACTACCACTGTGTTATTAATGTGTAATCATGTAATCCATAATAAGGAATCTGTAATCTGATTACGAGTATTATAAAAAGTAGTTTACTCTAATTACAAGATCTTGATTTTTGTAATCTGATAATATAATCCAGGTTACATATAGACATATAGTAGCAATAATATTAATAATAATAATATTATATATATATATATATATATATATATATATATATATATATATATATATATATATATATATAAAATCTGACCTGATGTGTGAATACTGCTGAATCACAGACACGACGCTCCTGCGCACCTGAGACACCATCAGATCCATATCACCTGCAGAAATACACACATAAACACAAACTCCCAGCATGCTCTCTGCTCAGGTCATCAGAGGTCAGTTGTACCTTTCGGAGCGATGCTGTAACCCACGGCAACCACCACTGCACCCTTCTGGACCAGCGGGACAGCCAGAAAACCAGACTCATCCTTACTGTAAAGCACATGACAGTCATTTATTTTGATTATTGGGGGAATATACACAATTAACATTATTGATCAGTATGTGGCTCTTTTTGGATTCTAGGAAGCGGTGGAAATTAAAAATGTTAAACGGGAAACACATTGGGACCATTGTTATTGTTTACATCCCTCAAAATAGTCTATAGAATTATATATTCTTGGTCTACTTACACATTACACAGAATTGTACAGTATGTAATATACAGTTGAAGTCAGAAGTATTCGCCCCCTTTGACCCCAGATTAATAAAAAGGGACTAAGCCGAAACGAAAATGAATGAATGAATGAATGAATGAATGAATGAATGAAGTTTGAAAAAAGTGACACGGTGGCTCAGTGGTTAGCACGAGACAGACACGAGAGAGACACTGGTATATTTGATTTGAAAAGCACATGAAAATGAGCCTGTAGATGGAAATGAACACACAGAGGAGGAGAAACAGACCTAAGGAACTGCCAGTATCCTCCATGAAAATAAATCACCAGCGGCACGTCTGGAAAAGGACAAACAGACCCTCAGTGACGGACTACACAACTACACAAAGCTTGACTTTAAAGGGCTGCATAAAACAGGTTTAGAAGAGGTTTGAACACAGCTGTCATGAAAATCATTAATAAACCCTAAATAAACAGCATTATTAAGCACAATCTGGGAAATGTTAGAGTTATAATGGGCATTATTATTCTCACAGATCGACTGACAGCACTGTGAGTGTGTTATGCATCCGCTAGAGTTCTGAAGATTATGATGGTGTGACCTGGACTGGAGCTGCTGGGAAGATAAACGTCCAGTTTCTCTCCTTCTGCTTCTCCATACGGGACGTCCATCAGAGTCTGAGTGACCGACCGAGCTCTCTCTGTGCCTAAACACACACACACACACACACACACACACACACATACATATACATACATATATATATATATATATATATATATAAAAACAAACATGTGTGTGTGTACATAAACATACACTACTTGACAAAAGTCTTTTTTAGGAACACTGACTGTATGACTGTATGTTCGCATGTACATACAAAAATATATAGGCATATGTACACATGATACACACACATGAATGAACATATACATAAACAGTCGCACATATAAGCACATGCACACAAATATATACAAACACACATAAACAAACACACAGCTCTGATTCAGACATGCTCTCTCACACACACACTGATGTAGGTCACGTGTTGAGCGCTGGTGTCAGATGAACATGTCTGGTGTTTGAGTGATGAAGAGAAGTGAAAGCTGATGTAAACACACACACACACACACACACACACACACACACACACTCGCTCACTCACCTGATTTCAGTGCGGACACATGAGCTCTGATGACATCATCGGCAGACATCCTGGGTGACCAGCGGCTGGGAGAATACTGCAGCTCCAGTTCCTGACCAAAACACACACACACACGCACACCACAGAGAAAGAGAGAGAGATAACAGCCGGATACACACACATAGCGGCACCTGCTGGCAGTACATGGCAATTACAGCCCTCTCTCTGTTTCTCTCTCTCAATTAAATTAAATTTAATTTAATTTAATTTAATTAAATAATTGCTTTATTGGCATGACAAATGTTACAGATGTATTGCCAAAGCATTTATAAAGTTTACTTAAAAGAACATGCATAAAAATTAAAATGAACACAGTATAAACACAGTAAATAGTAGTAGTAATAAATAGCGGCGCCTGCTGGCAGTATATGGCAATTACAGAGTCACACAATTAAAATGTGGACATACATAAACACATTTTTATATATGGGCAGTTTCCCCCACAGTCCAAAGACATGCAGTACAGGTGAATTGGGTAGGCTAAATTGTCCATAGTGTATGAGTGTGTGAGTGTGTGTGTGTGGATGTTTCCCAGAGATGGGTTGCGGCTGGAAGGGCATCTGGTGCGTAAAAACTTGGAGGTTCATTCCACTGTGGCGACCTCAGATTAATAAAGGGACTAAGCCGAAAAGAAAATGAATGAGTGAATATCTGTCTATATATATATTCATTCATTTATAACTATGGAGTCAATCTAGGGTCTTGCAACATAAAAGAACATCTTTATTAAACACTTATATATGGAGTAAATCTAGGGCCAAAACAAAATAATGTTTTGCAAACAAAAAGTAAAGTATTGAGCAAAAATAAATATATAAAGGCAAATCTACAAAAATCACAGAGTGAAAATGAATTTTTGAAGAAAAAAACCTATTTTGCTGACAAACTAAGGAAATGCTAAATGAAAATTATGTTGAGAAATAAAAATGAAATACAAAAAAAAGAACTGTAAATAAAAATCAAGCAGTGCAAAAACACTCAAATATTTGCAATAATAAAAAAAAACATTTATATTTGCAAAACGTTTTTTATAGCATTGCCTTTACAAAAGCAATCCAGTCAATTACTTGGGCGTTTATGACCCTACTAGGCTGTAAGACCACCTCGGTGATACTGATGACGTTGCTTAAATGGAGGCAGGTTCAGGCCGTAAACGTCCAAGTTCCCTTGACCCCGCCCCCTTGTCAAATCAGGGCCACAAATTTAAAACATGCAAAGTTAAAACAGCATCACAAACTCACGATTGACCGAAATGCAAATCAAAATGAGTATTGCAATTGACTGCTGAATTGATTGCAACTAATGTTTTGTGTGTGTGTGTGTATGTGTGTGTGTGTATGTGTGTGTGTATATATATATATATATATATATATATATATATTTTTTTTTTTTTTTTTTTTTTATTTATTTATTTATTTATTGCAAATATTTGAAATATTTGAGTTTTTTGGCATTTTTGCATTTTTATTTGCAGTTCTTTTTTTGTTTGCAAAATTATTTTTTTATTTCTCAAAACTTGATTTTCCATTTGCAGTTCTTTATTTTTATCAGGAAAGTAAATATTTAATCCTTACAAATTAATTTTCGCTTTGCAATTATTGGAGATTTGCATTTATTTTGCTCAAAAATTTATTTTTTGTTTGCAAAACTTTCTTTTATGTTGCAAGACCCTAGATTGACTCCATAGTTATATCCATTTAAATAAGAGTTTGGTCACCAAAACATCTACACTATAAACCTCAAAATGTAAACTATATATATTCTCATGATTTTTCCTGTTTATTTAAATTTACTTTAACCCTTTCCCCCAATACATTTTAGGAGTGTGATCTTCAGTGTTTTTGTTAGATTAGTTGATCAGTTTAGTCTTCAGTACTGACTAATTTAATGTATCTGCACTAATATATTACTGGAAGGCATCGTGGAGAGAATATTACTGTAAAGAGAGATCTGAGACTTATGCTCAGCACTGTACACATACAAAGTTTTATCATTGAAACTGAGTTTAATGTAGTACAAAACGTCAGGATTGTCTCTTTTCTGAGAGATGTTGTGTTTATTTTCATGCCTGTGATGGTTATCATGCTGATCAGGCTTACGGAGACAGCAAAACTCTAACTTTAAGCTTAGTTTTGGTTTGAATGCAGTTAAATATTCTGTAATTTTTCATCTCTTATGCTTACTTCTTTGAATATAAACTGAAGATCAACTATTGTAAAATGTTTTAGTTGTATTTCCTTTAGTATTTTGAAGTGTTTTTGGTGGAAATCTAAATTTACAGCTGTGATCCAGCAGCAAACACTAATCCAGATGTTACAGTCATCTTTTTTTAGCACTGAAATGCATTTTCTAGTAGAAAAAAATCGGTCTTTACACAAATCTAAGTTGTTTTTCTGTTGTTGTTTTTAATTGTTTGTCTTACTCTCTGTCTGTCTTTTTAGCTTAATCTTTTATCAGCTCTTAAGAGTTCATTTCTAAGGTGGCTGACAGCCGACATCTCCCTCTCTCTCTATATACAAAATTAAACACACATAGACATGCACATAAATATAGACACACACACTCATTCATTCATTATCTTTCGGCTTAGTCCCTTCATTCATCAGAGATCGCCACAGCAGAATGAACCACCAACTCATCCAGCATATGTTTTACACAGCAGTTGCCATTCCAGCAGCAACCCCGTGCTTGGAAACACTCAAACGGGACTTGAACCAGCGACCCTCTTGCTGTGAGGCCACAGTGCTAACCACTGAGCCACTGTGTCGGTGAAGTGCAGATGAACTCTAACAGTTGTTTAGAGATTATAAGATGCTTGTGAAAACACAACATGTACTGAACATCTTCACGAGACTGTCATGAGAAAGGCTTATAAATCTGTTATCAGCAAAGCATTTCAAGATAAACGCCTGCATGCAGCCCTCTAAGCCCCTTAAATACCACCTATTTACCCCTTTTTGGTGTATAACAGAAATAAGAAATTGTTTAAAACTAATAATTACACATAATCCATAAAATAAATCAATGAAATAACTAACTAAAAAACAAACTAAGAGCCAGAGAATTGAACTTAAATTGCTTTATTTCGTATAACTCTGCATTCATAGACGTTCAGCACTGACTAAAGTAAAATATAACTTTAAGATCATGCACACAGAGTAAAATATTCACTATTTCTGCAGTATGAAACAATGAATTTAGTGTACAATATGTGCATTTATCAGATGCATGAGATACTAGGATGAAGTATGATATCTGACAAAGTCTGTGCATTATAAACACACACTATTGGACTGAAACTAATGAGTCACGAGTAGCCAGTTTGAACTTTTGGACTATGAAATGTTAGAGGTTTCATTAGAACTAAAACTGCAAAATAATCATGTTTGTATCTCAGATAAAAACAGGTTATTTAATTAAAGGTATGTCAAGTATTTAACAATATATAATATATATATAGGCTTCAGATGCAAAAACCTCCAAGTGCCGTCTGAAATTTCTGCCTCCTTTGTTTATGTTTAGATATTTCACTTTAAAGAGCAGGAAAATGACTTATGCTTTGAAAATGATATTACTGAACATAAGCACAGGAGCCTGATGAAAATGCTAATTTTAGAGGACATTTCAGATGCCATTTAGAGGTTTTTGCATCTAAACTCTTCTTATATTTATGTAATGTATTAGCATATAAATTGTGCATCAATAAGCAGTTTTAAAGTAAAATAAAGGACGTTTTATAAGAGTGTTACTTAATAAAGAAAATATAATACTTTAAAAAGTGATTAATAAATATAAAAACTAGCAAAACTACTTAAGTATGCATCTATGCTATGCATCTTACAACACTTGAATTATTTTAGTCGTTTTTAAACACATTTCCAATCAGAAATCGCTGAAAATGGCGTAGGTATTATTTAATTTAATATTTTAGACACTCACATCTTTGCTCATGCTCTTCCAGTCGCTCATGATGATGCTTTGCTTTGCAGGGACCTTTGAAACAGCACTAGCTAGTGAACTTCATGAGTTGTTGACATACTGTCAATCATTAACCTCGTGGGTGTGTGTGACAGCTGTCTATCTATATTATCTATTATGATTGATTCTATTGGTACAAACCGCGCTGAATTCGTGAAAATTACACCAAAAATACATTTTGATAACAAAACAATCAGTCACTGTGCCGGTTTATTCAGTTCCTCTAATTCCCGCCTGACTGCTGCGTGACGTCGCTGACTTATAAACACACTGGATAGACGGAGGCCAATCAGATCTCTGCTCTTCAGCTGTTTACGTGTTTTATAGATCTGTGCGTAGGAACAGTTGCGCGCGACCTTTATTCTGATTGGTTCAGAGGAACATGACGCTACGGCTACTATAAATAGACAAACTGGCGGTGGCGGGATGTTCAAATCCTGCTCTGAGTTGTACTGAACATATCGAGATATTAATAAAAAATAAAGACAACAAGCAGACGACATGGATTGTTTAAATGTAGCCAGAATTTTGCCTAATTCTCCACGGAAGACAAGAGGACAGATACAGGTGAGCGATTGATATGCTTTATTATTGTTCAATTTTTGAGCAACCGAAACACAAATATGACGAGTTACAGTAATAACATACAGTTATATACATAGTATTGTGCATATAAATGATATACACGTTATATATAATGCATAATTGCGTGTATTTTCTCCTGGATATGATGTATTTAGGATTTTGTCGTGTATTTAAAGTTTTTGTGAGTGACGTCACCATCTCTTTGTCGTCTTTTCAGGTTATTTTCGGACCAATGTTCTCAGGAAAAAGGTGAGAGCTAATAAAACTGAATTATGATCGTGGTAATGATGAGTTTGACGATTATGAGTTTGACGATATATTATAAGCATAAGGCGCCAAATGTTGACAAAAGCGCGTGAACCGTCACATTGTTTACAAAACCGCCACGATTAAAGCGCCAAAATAACACAATAGTGCTTTATTTGTAAATATTGTAATATTTATTTAATATATTTTTATAGACCAAAATTTGAATGCACTTCTATTTCCTTCCTTATCACACACATTTTAAAAATACTCTAGTAATGTATAGCAAATGATAGTGTTTTTCAAGTAAAGTACTTTGATATGGTGTGGTTATTGTATCAGAAATACAGTAATATAAACAAATGGCCCAATATGTCAAAGTTTATTATACTGCAATGCACAACGGTTTTCTGTAGTAAAACCTGAAGTGTAATGTTACTACAGTATTTATTACAGTTTATCAGTTTGCTTTTGTTAATATTACAGTATGCTTAAACATTTATTAACAAAATGCTACTGTAATTGTTATATATGCAGTTTACAGTATATTACACAGGGTATCTGCAGCATCTTAAAATGTCTTGAGTTTCAAAAACAAAACATTAGGCCTTAAAGTCTGAAATCTACACTGAAATATCCACTGAAATATTGTGTTGTAGGTTTTAGATTAGTTTTTATGGGTTTTAATTTTCCTATGTAAAGCTCAATTGGGCTAACACCCATCCAATCAACAATCAATAAAAGTTTTAAGAAATATTTATTATCTCTGTTTACTTATTAATGTGGTTCAATTTTCTCCCTTACAATAACATTTGTTTAAAAAGTCTTTAGGGTTTAGCCTTGTGCAAGTCTAACATTTCATTCATTATGGCGCTAAAATGATCTTAAAAAGTCTTAAATTTGACTTGATGAAACCCTAATTATATCTTACCATAGTATGGTTCAATGACTCATAAATTGCTGTAGGCATGATGTGAATCATGAAAGTGGAAAAGGTTTTGAATGTCGTAAGGGTTTCTGCCATTTGCACCATTTTGTTTAGTTGCAAAACTAAGAAATTCTATAAAACTTAAAATTATCCTTATAATCCATACAAAAAATTAAGTATAACCTGAGAATAACTGCATTAAAGTCAAGTAAATTAAATAAAATTGACTCTTAACAATGCATTTCATTCATATTACATCATTTCTACTTGCAAAATCATTAAATTGCAGATAATAAGAATGTAATCAGTGTTTTCTGCTGCAGTGGTTTGTCATTGTGTTTATTTATATGATTATCATGAGTTTTGCCTAAGTGTCTCGGATATGAACAAAATGTAACGTTTGGAAAATCTTAATGCATTTAAACAGGTTAAACCACATAATCCTTAATATTATAATGCATAAAGTGAATCAAGATAAAAGTGACGTCTGCAGACAGCTGTAGTTTGATGTGTGTGGGGGTGAATGAAGAGTCTCTGTGTTAACCTGCTGTGTGTGTGTGTGTGTGTTTCAGCACAGAGTTGATGCGGCGTGTGCGCAGGTTTCAGGTGGCTCAGTATTCCTGTCTGCTCATCAAATACGCCAAAGACACGCGCTACTCCTGTACAGGGATGGCCACACACGACATGTATGAACAAGAGATTGTGTGTGTGTGTGTGTGTGTTGTTCTGTCTGATCTGGTTTGTTTGCAGTATCTGTCATGGGTGTTTCTGCAGTAGGTGTGTATTTGTGTGTCTGCAGTGTTTGATCAGTGTGTGTGTTTCTCTTCTACAGGAACACTATGGAGGCCGTTCCTGCAAACCGTCTGCGTGACGTCGCTCCTCTGGCTCTCCAGGCCTGCGTCATCGGCATCGACGAGGGACAGTTTGTACGTCTCTTTAACAAGCACACTCCATTGTACATCAGTTATTATTCAGTCTGTAAGTGTGTGTGATGTGTTGATCGGTGTGTCCTGCAGTTCCCAGACACCGTTGAGTTCTGTGAAGAAATGGCCAACATGGGCAAAACCATCATCGTGGCGGCGCTGGACGGAACCTTCCAGAGAAAGGTGATCAAGACGGATCATTCAATAAATTTAATTCATTATATAAAATTATTTTCATACTAAATTAACTTCTCAAAAGTCAATATACGAGTATAAATTGTGACCTTTGGGGGGTGTGTGTATGTGTGTGTGTGCAGGCGTTTGGTAACATCCTGAATCTGGTTCCTCTGGCGGAGAGTGTGGTGAAGCTGAACGCCGTCTGCATGCAGTGTTTTAAAGAAGCGGCGTACACCAAACGCCTCGGAGCTGAGAAAGAGGTGAGAGGAAACCTGAGTGTGTGTCTGCAGGAAATGCATGCATCACTTCCTCTTCCTGCCAGGATCAGAGTGTAACCTGTGTATGTGTGTCTCTGTGTGTGTTGTGTTGTGCAGGTGGAGGTGATCGGCGGTTCAGATAAATATCACGCTGTGTGTCGCTGCTGTTACGGAGGCCTGATGAAGGAGAACCGCAGCCCGCAGAGAGAGGAGACGCCGCCGCACGCCAGCGCCGCTAAAACACTCGAGTACAGCACAGCCACGCGCAAACTCTTCACTGCACTGCATCTGTGAGCGCACACACATACTGATTCATCTGTGAGCGCACACGCATTCTGATTCATCTGCGAGCGCACACGCATACCGATTCATCTGCGAGCGCACACACATACTGATTTATCTGTGAGCGCACACACATACTGATTCATCTGCGAGCGCAAACACATACTGATTCATCTGTGAGCGCACACACATATTGATTTATCTGTGAGCGCACACACATACTGATTCATCTGTGAGCGCACACGCATACTGATTCATCTGTGAGCGCACACGCATACTTATTCATCTGAGCGCACACACATATTGATTTATCTGTGAGCGCACACACATATTGATTTATCTGTGAGCGCACACACATACTGATTAATCTGTGAGCGCACACGCATTCTGATTCATCTGCGAGCGCACACGCATACCGATTCATCTGCGAGCGCACACACATACTGATTTATCTGTGAGCGCACACACATACTGATTCATCTGCGAGCGCAAACACATACTGATTCATCTGTGAGCGCACACACATATTGATTTATCTGTGAGCGCACACACATACTGATTCATCTGTGAGCGCACACGCATACTGATTCATCTGTGAGCGCACACGCATACTTATTCATCTGAGCGCACACACATATTGATTTATCTGTGAGCGCACACACATATTGATTTATCTGTGAGCGCACACACATACTGATTAATCTGTGAGCGCACACGCATTCTGATTCATCTGTGAGCGCACACGCATACTGATTCATCTGTGAGCGCACACGCATACTGATTCATCTGTGAGCGCACACGCATACTTATTCATCTGAGCGCACACACATATTGATTTATCTGTGAGCGCACACACATATTGATTTATCTGTGAGCGCACACACATACTGATTAATCTGTGAGCGCACACGCATTCTGATTCATCTGTGAGCGCACACGCATACTGATTCATCTGTGAGCGCACACGCATACTGATTCATCTGTGAGCGCACACACATATTGATTTATCTGTGAGCGCACACACATATTGATTTATCTGTGAGCGCACACACATACTGATTCATCTGTGAACGCAAACGCATTCTGATTCATCTGTGAGCGCACACGCATACTTATTCATCTGTGAGCGCACACACATATTGATTTATCTGTGAGCGCACACACATATTGATTTATCTGTGAGCGCACACACATACTGATTCATCTGTGAGCGCACACGCATTCTGATTCATCTGTGAGCGCACACGCATACTGATTCATCTGTGAGCGCACACGCATTCTGATTCATCTGTGAGCGCACACACATACTGATTCATCTGTGAGCGCACACGCATACTGATTCATCTGTGAGCGCACACGCATACTGATTCATCTGTGAGCGCACACGCATACTGATTCATCTGTGAGCGCACACGCATACTGATTCATCTGTGAGCGCACACATCTACACAAAGACATTCTCACAAAGACACACACACAATCTCTCTCACACACACACACACACCATCACTCACAGATACGAACACTAATTCATCTGTGAGTACACACTCTCTCACACGTACTTGCGTACAAACACACACACACAATGCATATCAATCTAGGCACAATCTCACCAGTACAAACACACTGTACACAAACACAAGACTCAGACAAACACATGCGCTCTCTCTCTCACACTCATTGTATACAATCACACACACACACACGCCTGATGTCTGTGTGCATTACTCGGCTGTATTTCCTGTACATATCTTTAACTAATTTTACTGTGTGTGTGTGTCTCTCTCTCTTAGGTTTTAAAATAAGCAAATCTTTTGTATGTTTAGTTTTATTTAAATGATCTTGAAAGTAATTTATATTTGTCTAAGACGAGACCAGCTGACACTATGAAGCACTGCCAAACACTGACGTCTTAGGAGTAATAGTCAATAAAACAAATAGATTATCGAAGGGTTTTCCTTTATTATTATTATTCATACATGTTTCAGGATCTTCTTTCCTGTCAAAGATAGTTTAAAAAATGTTTGACTTTCTCTGTTACAAGTTTTACTCAGCTGAAGACTAAATTATTTGCCCTCCTGTGACATTATATTGTGAATATTTCCAGAATGCCAACACATTATTAAACATAATCATCTCTAATTAGAAATAATGGATTTATTTTCTCTTCTCCATGATGACAGCACATAATATTAGACTAGATATTCTTCAAGACACTAGTGTTCAGCTTACAGTGACGTTTAAAGGCTTTACTAGGGTAAAGTTAGGGTAATTAGGCAAGTCATTGTCGGCAGCTCGCTCTCTGCAACTCTCACATGGTCACTCACTGAAGCTAAGTAGGGCTGCCTCTGGTCAGTACTTGGATGGGAGACCCCATGGGAAAGCTCAATTGCTGCTGGAAGTGGTGTTAGTAAGGCCTGTGGTCTGTGTGGGTCCTAATGCCCCAGTGATATATATCCCATATATATATATATGAGACGTTCTGACTCCCTGTGCTCATTAATAATCCCAGGATGTCCTTTGTAAAAGAGTAGGGGTTAAACCCTGGTGTCCTGGCCAAATTTACCCACTTGCCTCTGTTCGTCATGGCCTCTAAACCCTTCCCATATCATCTCCACCAATCAGCCGGTTTGTGGTCTGGTGCAATATGGCTGCTGTCGTGTCATCCAGCTTGATGCTGCACACTGGTGGTGGATGAGGAGATTCCCCCAATGTGTAAAGCGATTAAGTGTAAAAAGTGCTATATAAATAGAAGGAATTATTATTAATGTTGTATAACTGCGGCTTGTTCTTTAGACGATCCAAAATGTCTTAAGTGGAGCAATAATATTGAGCTTTTCCCTTTGATTATTATTTAAAAATGATTATTGTTTAAAAAGATTCCAGCCAAATTCATACAACTCAGACTTTCTACAAATATTTCTATATATTAAATACTGTACTCAGTTAAACTGCAAGTAATGCGTATTAATATATTTGAATTGAATTTTACAGGAGGGCAAATTTTAATCTTCCTAGAATGATGATGAAGATCTGATGGAAATGTTACTTTTCTTTTTTTAATAAAAATAAAGGGAATTTCCTTCTGTATTTCATTATTCGGCTTTTGCATACATTTCTGCATGTAATAACAGCTAAATCACACCTGTGACTTGTTTATTTCACAACTCCTCAGTTCAGAACTGTGATTTAAAATGAAATGATGTAGCTTTAAATCAAAGACGACTGTAAATAAAAATGGCATTTCTTAAAGAGTCTTGTCTTTTATTGAGAATACACACTAGTGCTTTTGTTTGTTTGTTTGTGCATTTAAATAAAAATCACGTTACTCAAGAGAAAAAGACCTTTGTAAGGAGAAACCTTACGAGACTGGAGAATAAATACACACGATGTAAAAGCTGTGAGGGATCTGCTGGAGGAAAGAATGTGGATTTCCATCCTAAAACATTGTAAAAGTTCACCTCTGAAATGATTTAAATAATGACACTGATGGATGGATATTGTGTAAATGCTGCCTCTGGTGTTTCACATCAGTGTTACATACAGATAAACCGCACCAGAGCTCGGCATTACAGGTGTTTGTGTTTCATATGAACACTGGCTGATCCAAAGTCAGTCTCTGCAGAATCAGATTTACACTCATTCTTGCCCGCCATCCCATCTGAGAAGAGAGGGAGAATGATGAGGATGGTTTCCAGATTGTCAATTCAAATTTAATGCAACCCTTTGTTTTATTGTTAAAAGCTAGCTGAAATTAAATGGTGTAAATGAATCATTTTGTTTAAATGTACATACAGTCACTCGACCATGCAGAGACTTTGGTGAGCAAATCAAGACAAAGGCAGATTCTGCTTGGCCTGTGTATTTAGCATTGAACACCGTCTTATTATGTTTTTATTGCAATAAATTATCATTTGAAAGGTTATACTGCCTTATATAATACAATTTAAAGTAATGTTTTTATTTATTTTGAAATATTATTAAATGAATTAGAAATTACACATGCATGGCAACTTTAATGCAATACAGTTTGGTACAGTTGAAGTCAGAATTATTCGCCCCCTGTTTATTTTTCCCCAATTCTGTTTAATAGAGAGCAGATTTCTCCAACACATTTCTAATCATAATAGTGTTAATAAGTCATCTCTAATAAATGACTTATTTTATCTTCCCCATGATGACAGCACATATTATTAGACTAGATTTTTATAATATTAGACTAGATATTCAAGACACGAGTGTTCAGCTTAAAGAGACATTTAAAGGCTTCACTAGGGTAATCAGATTAACTAGGCAGGTTAGGGGAATTAGGCAAGTTATTGTATGACAATGTTTTTTTCTGGAGACTTTCAAAAAATATATAGCTTACAGGGTCTAATAATATTGACCTTAAAATAGTGTTTAAAAAATTAAAAACTGCTTTTATTCTAGTCGAAATAAAACAAATAAGACTTTCTCCACAAGAAAAAAAAACATGTAAAACTGTGAAAATTTCCTGAATCTGTTCAACATCATATTTTAAAAAGGAAAAAAAAAACAAATGGGGTAAATAATTTTGACTTTAACAGTATATTTACACATGACCCATGGCTCCCAGTGATATTTTTTTTATAAAAAATAAATAAATAAAAGTGTGGGCACCCTTGCTTTTGAGCAATATCTCAATTTTGCCAGATATAAACTCAAAATAGTGAGGAAAAATCTACATTGTGAGAAAGTCAAAATGTGATGCACTCCTCCTGTATGGAGATGGCCCATAACTGAAAAACTGAATTGTCCACCATACACTCTTACTTTTGTGGGATATTAAGGCAAACATTGAGGAGAAAGTCAGAATAAGACACAAATCCAGAGTTGAGGGAAGCAGAATTTGGTGAAATATATAAAAAAAAAACAAATGAATTAGTATAAAAGACTTGAGTGAAAAAAAAAACTCTGAATTTTGCTCAACATAAAGACAAATTTGTGGGATATGAACTCAAAAACAGTCAGAATCAGACAAGATATGAATTCTGAATAAAGGGAAACAAACAATTGTAGGATCTGAACTTACTGAAGTAAACATTTTTTGTTTGTTTTTAGTTTTGGAAACTCAAAATTGTGAAGTCAGAATTCAGAGATGTAAAATCACAATTATGAAAAAGAAATTGTGCAAATAAAAACTCACAATAACCTTAATTTTAATATTCAGTGCTAGAAACAAGCTTTCATAGAAACAAATGAAGACTATAATGAGCAGTCCTTCACTCATCACGCTGTAATATCAGAGAAATACGGCATATTTCTGCTGTGAAGGACAGTCCAGCTCTTCACTAACACCATTAGCAGACGGGTCAGCGGCTCTTTGTTTCCCATCCACCAGTACATTCCAACTTATCCAGCTCTAAAGAGGGCCTATTATACAGAAATCACTTTTACATGTTGTGTGAGCAGTGTGTGAGTATCTCCAGCAGCCTCTGATGCTCAACATCAATTCACTGTGTTTGTTCTAATCAGACACCAGAGTCATCAGAGGGGGAAAGCCCCGCCCACTAGTGCCCATCTCTCCATCTCATTAGCATAAACAGCAGCCCTGAGTGAGAAGCAGCCGTCTGTCCATTAGCCATTAGAGTGTTTGAGCTGCTGAAGATAACGTCAGCATAGACTAAGAGGATTATAGATGTGGAGTTCTAGATGAACAGCGACAGGAGCCACATAGACTGACACAAGCATCAAGCACACACTGAAGCACTCACACACACACACACACTGCTGTTTTACATCTGTCATTACGTTTATGCAAATGCACTTCTAGCTCCGCCCTCTTCTTAAAAATAGCACAATCTCATTTGCATTAAAAGTGACAGTCACCAAAATGCCACAATTCGGATCAAAGCCTGAAAGTGTCAGTTTCAGAGAGCTGGAGGACATTACCTGTGTTATTCTGAGCTGATACTTCACTACACACACATCAGGGACATATTTTACATCTTGTATCAATAGATGCACAATAGATCCCCTTTAATAAAGCACACACACACCGCTGAGACTCCAGTGTGAGCGACTGACCTGCGTTCACTTTATTCCAGTTCATCAGTGTAAACCTCGACTACAGTAAGAAACATGATCATATGTACACGTTTATATAAAGCACGTCAATGACAGTCCGCTTCTCTTGGCTGTCTCCCGCATAGGTGTCATGTGACCTGGGTGGGCGTGTCAGTAGACGGGCGGCTGGAAGCTGGTCTGTCCGGACGGGTCGGGGTTGGGGGTAAAGGGCGGCTGCTGGTAAATATCTGCTCCGGTGTTCTGGAAGGACGGGTATGTTGGCGGAGTGTATGTGCTGGGGTACGGGGACGAGAGGTCGGGTGGAGGATCCGTGTAGCTCTGGGTCACTTCTTCAACACCCTGACGAAATCGCACCACAGCGAAGTATGTTAGCGCTCCCTGAGGAGATCAGAGGTTCATTAATGATGAGGGGAGTCAGGATATAGATGGACGTGTAAAGATATACAGTATAAAGAATATACAATATTAAAGCCAGAATTATTCGCCCTTCTGAATGTTTTATTCCCCAATTTCTGTTTGATGTGTTCAACACATGTCTAAACATAACAGTGTTAATAACTCATCTCTAATAACTGATTTATTTTCTCTTTGTCATGATGACAGCACATAATATTAGACTAGATATTCTTCAAGACACTAGTGTTCAGCTTAAAGTGACATGTAAAGGCTTCACTAGGGTAATTAGGGTAAAGTTAGGGTAATTAGGCAAGTCATTGTATAACAGTGGTTTGTTCTGGAGACAATCCAACACTAATATTGCTGAAGGGGCGAATAATATTGACCTTAGAATGGCTTTAAAACAATTAAAAACTGCTTTTATTCTAACCCAAATAAAACAAATAAGACTTTCTCCAGAAGAACAAATATTAGAGGAAACACTGTGAACATTTCCTGAATCTGAGAAACACACACACACACACACACACACACACACACACACACACACACACACACACACACACACACACACACACACACACACACACACACACACACACACACACATACATATATATATATATATATATTTTTTAATTATTATTATTATTATGTATTCCCTCTTTATTTATTTTTTATTATTATGTATTCCCTCTTGGCCAGCTTTTAAGAGCACTCGGTCTCAACTTTCACTTTTCTGCAGATGACACTCAAATCTATTTACACTGAAGACCAGATGTCAATATGGCTGTATTCATTCTTTCCCGGTGTTTTTCTGAGATTAAAAAATGCATGTCTAAAAACATCTTTTGTTTAAACAGAGATAAGAAGGGCCAGACAGAATCTGCAGATGTTTTTTGCTATTTCGGCAGAGAATTTTGGTAAAAATCTGCAGATTTCTGCGGAATTATTTTGGGAGTGTCATAACTAAAACCTTAATATATGAAATAAAACTTAACACCTTTTTAACTTTTTTAATGTTTAAAATGCAAATCCAATTAGATTCACAGCGGAATGAACCACCAATTTATCCAGCATATGTTCTACGTAGCGAATGCCCTTCCAGCTGCAAACCATCACTGGGAAACAGCCATGCACACTCAATCACACTCATTCATTATGGCTAACTTAGCGGGGAGAACATGCAAACTACACACAGAAATGCCTAACTGACTCAGCCGGGATTCAAACCAGCAACCTTCTTGCTGTGAGGCGATCGTGCTACACACTTAGCCACTGTGTCATCCTTACACCACAGTGCTCTAAATAAATGAATTAATATTATACTAATATTTTTTACAGGATACCGTATCTCACAATACAAGAACCTGAGGGTCACTGATTTTTTTGTTATTATTTATTTATTTATTTTCTTTTGATTATGTTCTAAACCTCAGCCATAGACATCAGTGTCGTAACAGAAAGAAGACATGCTATGGTTTTATCTGTGGTGTTTTGCCTGTAAAAGTCTGTTTTTGCTGCACTGGGTGTCACACACACACTCACCCATGAGGCGATGGAGAAGAAGGAGAACGCGATGACGGCGTGTACAGCATCGGTGGGAATCCCGCTGCGGTCAGAGGTTTTGGACCACTGATCCGCCGTCAGACAGAAGCACACAAACCAAAGGAACGTCCAGCAGCCTGAGAAATACACACAGCAGAACAATCACAACAAAAAGAGCTGACAAGCTCATATCACCATATATACGTCCTGATAACCATATAGAGTGCACCATTTCTGTAAATGGAATCAATAGTTTATATGCAGCTGAAGTCAGAATGATTGGCCTCCTGTATATTATTTTCCACAATTTCTGTTGGACGTCGAGGAGTTTGTTTTCAACCCATTTTGAGCTTTCTCAACTGATAAATAGATGATTTTTGGACTGCTTTGTTAAACCAAAATGAAATTACGCAGAGGATTAAAGCATCTCGGGTGTCAAACACTAACACAGGAAGAGGCCGCGAGTCAAATGAGCTTAAGTCCGACTCACTTTACAGTAAACAAACCGTTTAGAGTCTGCACGTGGCACACTTATCATATCATAAAGGTCATGTGGAAAACAGTGGCAGCTCAGTTTCCGCTGACAGAAGAGATGCCACTGAATATAGATGAGAATGAACATTAGTTTTCAGACTGATCATGACTTGCGGGTACAGCTGCAGTTTCCATTCATTTTCCTTAAACTGGAATGATATACACACATGTATCATTTACAGTAAACTGAATCTATTATTAGTGTAAAATATTGCCTAAATCTGACGGGGAACATTCATTCATTCAATCCAGATGCTAACCTCAAACCAGACTCTACATGGCATGTCTATAACACATTAAATAGACGCATGTCTATTTTAAGCATTTTCTTCACATTATTGTTTTTAAGATGTGAGTTGACTGAAATATCACAGAAACAGACACATAATTGATCTATTACATCTTCACCATGATGACAGCACATAATATTAGACTGGATATTCTTCAAGACACTAGTGTTCAGCTTAAAGTGACATTTAAAGGCTTCACTAGGGTAATTAGGGTAAAATTAGGGTAATTAGGCAAGTCATTGTATAGACCTGGGGTCAGTTCTTAGAACGTGGATTACTAAGTTAGCTGGATTTGGATATTGACGATTTGACATGATCCAGGATCGTTTTGTTCTTCAAAGCTGATCGGAGAGTTGTTGTCATAGCAACAGTTTTGCTAGTTCAAACCTGGTCGGGAGCAGGCTCATTTCATATAAACAGGATTAGATCGGCTCAGTTCAAGCAAAGATAATACTGAAAGTATTGCCATACTTACAGTAGTTATATACATGTTGGAAAATAGTAAATATTTTAAACTATATATATATATATATATATATATATATATATATATATATATATATATATATATATATATAAAACGTATGCAATCTGCACTTGAAATGAAAGTACAAAGACTGCCACCTGGTGGTGCAAAGAGAAAACTTATTGATTTGAACTTTTTAGATCGCTTTAGTACAATTTGTGTATGATAATAGACATGCACAATATGTGACTTTTTTAAAAGGAATAATACATTTATGCAGTCATAAACATGTATTGACAGTTAATATGCCAGTGATCTGATGCTTCACAAAAGTTGCAGACGCTGTTACCAATATCAAAATGCTTTTATAAACATCCAGTTATTCAATACATCGATTGAAAAATGGCTCCTATAATACTAATAAGGAAAATCCGCTCTAACTATAAAACTAAATAAATTGCTCCTGACACATGAAAGGGCCAAGCATGCAGCCCACAAGGTGTAGTTAATGCGTGTCATATTTAACAAACCGTTTACTTTGAATTATCTGTAATTTTGCTCACATGGTGATAATTAAATATTTATCAGATGATGTCATTACACTGCTGTGCCGTCAGCCAATCGTTGCATTGCTGATCATGATTTCGAGGATCAATAGATCTGTCCTTCACAACACACGCAGCGATCTCAGACCAGTTCATCCAGACATTCTAATCTGATTCACAATCTTGTTTGAAGAACCAAATTAGCCAGAGATCAGTGATCAAGATTAACAGATCCAGGATCTGCCAAACCATCTTAGATCATTTAAGCGAAGTACGAAGAACGGACCCCAGGGGATTTCAAACTCAGTTCTGGAGGGCCGGTGTTCTTGAGATCTCAACTCCAACCCTAATCAAACACACCTGAACCAGCTAATAAAGCTCTTACTAGATATACTAGAAACTTCCTGGCAGGTGTGTTGAAGCAAGTTAAAGCTAAACTCAGCAGGACACTGGCCCTCCAGGACCGAGTTTAGTCACCCCTGGTATAGACAAATTACCATGTTTGTAAACATTCAGAATGCGCGCACAGAGAGGTTGCAGAAAAAAAAAACATGAGCGCTAGCATTTACAGTGAGGGAATGACATCTAGAGTTTGTTGTTGTATTAGAGATAAGTTATATCGATTACATATGAAATATATTATTGACATAATGCTAACAGCGTATTATAACAGCTCGTCACCCAGTGATAAACACAGTGATTCTGCAAAATTAACGTTAAAGTGAGCGACGTTCATCTGACAGGTTTATCTGCGATAGCACCCTCCCAATGGATATTGGATAAGATGAAATGGCCGAGCATCCAGTCCCAAATATACAACTCTCTCACTGACACTCCAAGTGATTTCACAAAAGTGAAAGGCCTACAAGTCTCTGGATGCCTGCAGTGTTGTTCTGTGTGGTCATGTAGAAATAATGCTCCATGATGATCAGATTTAACACTATGTGGAGCTAAAAACCGAGGCTCTGCCAAGCCAAAGACAAGGAAAGAAGACTGAGCTGTACAAGGCCTGGGTAACCATCAACAAGCAGAACAACTGCATTCTGACAGCCAACTTAGCATTCAGTGTCCGCAGTTTGATTCACCATGTTTAACTGGGTTTGCTGAAATCATTGCTGTAATCAAAAACCAGTGATGTGTCTGATTCAGCATAGAGTGAACTTACCTGCTATAGCATCACTCCATTACATCACTCCATTCAGCTCCCTTTAGCAAAGACGTCTGCAGTTGGCATTAAAGCAGTTTGGTGTACGGTAAAAGTTAAGTTAAGTTTTCTATTTGTGGACTTTCGAATTTGGCATCCTACCTCAAAACACCACATGTTTGCTATTGCAACCGCTCTTTTTTTGCAACCGGGAACCGTAGGTTGGTAATTCCTTTATAACAGTGGTTTGTTCTGGAGACAATGCAAAACTAATAATGCTTAAGGGGCGAATAATATTGACCTTAATATGGCTTTAAAACAATTAAAAACTGCTTTTATTCTAGCCCAAATAAAACAAATATATACTGTGAAAAACTCCTGAATCTGCTGAACATGATCTGGGAAAAATGTAAAAAAGAAAACCAAATTCACAGGAGGGCGAATGATTCTGACTTCAACAGTAGATAAAGTGTAAAGTCAGACCTGAGAAGGCCAGATCCGCCATCACGATGTACTTCCTCTCCTGAGCGTTGCTGATGAGCGGCAGAATCGCATCAGCCAATAGGAAGCCCACGCAGGCCAGGAAGGCGATCACACCGATGCCCACGCCATAATGACAGGCGCCGTCGTTCCTGTTGAACACACACCTGACCTCAGCTTCATCAGTGCTGTTCACGTAGCCTTCAGCAGTGATGGAGGAGAACACCACGATGGCAAACACCTGACGTCCAGAACACACACACACACACACACACACATGAACATACTACAACAGTAGACTTATTTCAGCATGATGATGTATTTCTGAGTGAAACTGAATATTGAGTAGGGGGCGGAGCTTTATTTTGAACTTGGAGGGGCACGGCTATGCATATTTCGCCCAATCAGAGTCATCAGAGAAGCACTACTGTTCCAGAGCAGAAGAATGGCCAGATATTAATAGATAGATCAATTACTGTGGTTGTTGTGTTACCATAGCAACTATAGAATTACCACAATAGATCAATTACTATAGTTGTTGTTACCATAGCAACTATAGAATATCACAACAGATCAGTTACTATACTGGTTGTGTTGCAATAGCAACTGTAGAATATCACAACAGGTCAGTCACTGTAGTTGTTGTGTTACCATAGCAACGATAGAATTACCACAACAGATTAATTACCATAATTGTTGTTACCATAGCAAATATATAATTATCACAACAGATTAATTACTATAAATGTTGTTACCATAGCAACTATAGAATATCACAACAGGTCAGTTACTATATTGGTTGTGTTACCATAGCGACTATAGAATTACCACAACAGATTAATAACCATAATTGTTGTTACCATAGCAACTATAGAACTGCCAATTGCTATAGCTGTAGTATCACCATAGCAACTACAAAATTTCCACAGTAGATCAATTACCATAATTGTTGTGTTACCATAGCAACTGTAGAATTTCACAGCAGATCAATTACAATAGTTAAGTCACCATAGCAACTGAATAGTTCAAGTATTTCACTAAGTATGGTTTAAAAGCACCACAGTCAAGTACTATGTTATTTGTTCATATGGGAATTATTTCAATTTAAACTTTGCATGTTAAATGTCCAACATGTTTATCAGTATCACACAACTTCACATAAAAATCTAGCAGCTTTTTTTTGACGACCTATTATTATATTATGTTTGAGTTATATTATTAAGTTTCATCAAACAGACACTGAAGTATACAGCGAGGACAGAGCAGTGAGAGCAGAAAGATGTCACAGCCACACACACACACACACACACACACACACACACACACACACACACACACACACCTCCATCCGGTTGGCATGTTTTCATGCAAGTGTGCCACAGCAGCTCACAAATCACACTTCACAATCACTGGAGAGCAGCATTATGGGCTTCAGCTCTCATGTTACCTGCCATCTGCTGAGCGCGGGGACATTCTGTACGGCAGACCCATCACATGATGCACATGACCAGACACAAACTAAGAACTAACTAACACTACTGCTGTGCAAACAAACGTGTCTGTGTGTGTGGTAAATAAAGTAAAGAAAAAATCCAGAGACACTTTACAAGGTCAGCACAGCAGATACCAGCAGATATGAGTGGAAAGTCTCCTCATATTCAACAACAGCTAAATTAATCAGGTTCACCTCTCAACCGACCATTTCTGATGTACAGCAAAAATAAGTATATCAACTCATATAGAAATCTGAAATATGGCAACATATCCAAATCACATTTATGACATACAAGTCATGTTTGAATTTACATATGTAAAATACACGGCAAATATACAGCAAATATTGCAAAAAAAAAGATCATTTACTTACACACAAACATACACACATACATTATTTATATACACATTATCATTGGGATTACAAATATGTACATATGTTTAAATGATATATATATATATATATATATATATACATTCATACATGGCATTTCTGTATGGGAAGAAGCCTTTTCTAGACAAGAACAAGATTAAGTTAACTCTTATATTAAGTTAAGGTTAAGTTCTAATGCTTGCATTCAGTAAGTTACAAGCAATTCCATGTAAATGTCAACCTTGCCATAAAAAAATTAAGTTTTTACCAAAATACTGAACATCTTCTAGGTTTTTATGTAGGAGTGCTGTAAAAAACCTCAATAATGTCTCTGTTAATGTTTTCAAACAATTATATGTGATTTACACAAGCACCAATTTCACATCTGTCACATCCATATATCGCTTTTTCCTCATAAATGCAACACTGTCAGACATATTGAGCCAACTCTTATCTTTTTGTTAATATAATTTCTTTTGGGTTGTGCTGTTTAATCATTAGAATTTCTGCAAAGTATGTTGTATATTGTAAATTAGGGCTGGGCGAATTAGTCAAAAATCAAAATCTCAATTAATTGAACATTTTAACACAATTATGACTAATGAATGATTTTATTTATTGCCCTCATAGTTGAAATGTAGGGAAAATAATCGTCCTGGAAATATTAGATCGATTATTCTGCAGGTTCTGAGTGTCAATTACTGTTCAAATAATCGCCCAGCCCTACTGTAAACTTGCAGACTTTTTGGTCACATTCATAACACATGTTTATTTTCCTCATTTAAAATCTAAAAAGTGTTTACAGACTGATATTTTCTGATCCCACAACTCCGTGATTAGGTTTTTTTTATGCAAAATATAAACCGATGTTTCAATATGATGTTAGCACATGCTTTCTCTTTCACTTTATTGTTTAAGTTTTTACTGCAAATGTCACAGTTATAACAATGGATTTGCTCTTATAAAGAATGTAAGCAAGATATTCTCATTTTAAATCAAAAACAAGATTATTTTGCTTAAAAAGCAATTGTGACTTTTAAAATCAAAAATGCTTCTTGATTTAAGAATTTTTAGATATTTGGACTGTAAAAACAAGGTAAAAACTAATTAAGAATTGTATTATATATATTCTTTAAGTAATGAATGTGACGACACAGAAAATAATCAATCAATCAATCAATAAAATGTGATTGAGCTGAGCACAGGAACTCCTGAGTCATACAGCTTGATTTGTAAACATTTACATTTATTTCTATAGCATATTATACAGATTAATTCAAATTAGTTTTAAGAAAGTGAAATAAAGGATTTGCAAACTGTTTCACCATCAGCTGCCGCTCTGCTGAACACTATAGTGTATTATTAGGATAAATCCTGTTCAAATCGTGTCCATGTTAACAATTTTAGTGCAAATTTATAAAGTTTGTTTGTTTATGAAACTTAAATTTAATTAATATAATTTAACTATTATGGTTTTATACTACAGAACCCTAACTCAAACACGCAGACTGCTCCTCAACCGAGTAAAAGTGTCGCCTGCACATAAACTTCTGTGTTTTGAGCACATTTGGATCAGATTGTGGATCGCGACTCACCCAGCTGAGGAAACGAACCACCGTTTGCGGCTGTTTGATGAATTTGACGAGGTCGAATCCCGCTCCGGCGAGAGAAGCTCCGTACGCCACACTGCGCGACTCCATCGGTAAAACGCACACTCAAACACACACACACACATACACACACACACGACAGCTGAGAGCGCAACACGAACACACAAACACACACAACCGGCGCAGCTGCTGCTTCTGATCCGCTGTCAGACTCCCCGATGAATCGCTTCAATTGAACCGGATCTTTTTGGTGATGCAGGCGAACGCAATGAGAGGTTTTGTTCAAACTAACCGTTCAAAGGAACCGATTCGCTGAAACACATGCTGAAGAGCCAGTAAGTAATGAAATCACGATTGTTTATTGTTTAATAACGAGCTAATTGTGCGACGCGGTGGCGCAGTAGTGCTGTCGCCTTACAGCAAGAAGGTCGCTGGTTCGAGCCTCAGTTGGCGTTTCTGTATGGAGTTTGCATGTTCTCCCCGCGTTCAAGTTGGTTTCCTCCGGGTGCTCCGGTTTCTCCCACAGTCCAAACACATGCGGTACAGGTGAATTGGGTAGGCTAAATTGTCCGTAGTGTATGGTGTGAATTAGTGTGTGTATGGATGTTTCCTAGAGATGGGTTGCAGCTGGAAGGGCATCCGCTGCGTAAAACATATTGAAGTTGGCGGTTCATTCCACTGTGGCGACCCCTGATTAATAAAGGGACTAAGCCGAAAAGAAAATGAATGGATAACAAGCTAATTAGGATAGTAACACAGTTGGGACGATGCAGTTGAATGATAGCGTATAATCAATTATGTTTACGTTATCACATGAAAAAATACTAATTTATTTAATAAATACTAGTGTTTTTGAACTACAAATTCTTGAATTAATGTGTTGTGGTTATTGTATACACAACAGCAATAGTACTATAAACAAATGACCCAATATTGTTGCATTCTACAACTATAAGGCATATTATGCTACAATATACTACAGTTTACTGTAGTACAATCTAAAAATACTACAGTATTTATCACAGTTTATCAGTTCACTGTAGTTATAATACCACAGTATGCTGGAGCATTCAGTAACTAAGAGTTGTAAATACTGTTATATGCCGTATCAGTCTGAAAAATCATACTCGAGTAAATTACCACTACTTGCCTAAAATGCAGTGCAGTAGAGTAAAAGTATATGTTGTAAATATTACTCCAAGTATGAGTAACAGGTAGACCTTTCAAAAGTACTCAAGAGAAGTGAATAGTGAATATTACGCTGTATAAAGCTGATGATTTACATGTAATTTGTGCATGTGTGTGTAAACGTAACATTCTGTAGTGCATTTAGTTATTGCCCAGCAGACACACAACATCCTAACACGTTAATATTAGGTTAGATTTAGGTTGTGACGTCAGGTGACCAAAATTCAATGTCTGGCCAGCATCTGAGGACAACGTCATTTTAATGTAAAATAATGTCATCAAATGATGTTGATATTTGGTTGATTTTGGGTTGGTAGAAAGTAACCAAAATCCAACGTCGAGCCAACATCATAAACTAACGTCATAATGAAGACAAATATTGATAATAATTCATCAGGAATGTACGATGGCCGAGAGAGCTTAACACGCGGCAATTTAAAAAAGCACATGCAATTACAAAAAACACCAGCAAATACAGAAACCATCTTCATCAATTTGACAGCACACGTGTGCAAATCGGTCACAACACTTGCAAATATCCATGTAACACTACAGAAATGTTTCCAGGGGACCCAAAAACATGACGCACCCTGCTGAGATATGGATGCATTATCATGCCATGACTGTTGCTCAGTGAAGGGATTGGTGGTCTTTGAAAATTGAGTTGTTTTTCGTTTATTTTAATATCCTGATTACACGACTTAAAAAAACACACATCGGCTGCGTCCGAAACCGCCTACAACTCAGTAGGTACTGCATTTGAATTTAAACGTACCGCTCGACCGTTAGAAAAGTGCGCTCTATACAGTATGAATGTGAAAAGTATGAATGGAATTCGGACGTACTACATCCGCCATTTTGTCATGGTCACATGACCTACCTGCGTCAGTTGCGTCGCTTCTCTCCTATTCATGAATTCTCTCGTAGGGCATCATGGGATAGCGCAACGTGCATGGAATGCGCACTTTAGAACCTCGCCGGAAGTAGTAAGTCATCCGGGTACTTCTTGCATACTGATTTTCCAATTCTATGAATTCACACATACTACTCGGCTCGCATACTGATGTTAGCGTACTATATAGTATGGAAGTATGCAGTTTCAGATGCAGCCAATCATATCTCAGCAGAGTCCGTCATGGTTTTGGGTCCTCTTGAAACATTTCCGTTGTGTTACGTGCATTCAAAGAGCTTAGAATGACCAAGAGGCGACACTCAATAGAAAGTTCCATTGCAACAGCAGCGCCCAGCAACAGCCCCGCGATTCCACCATTTTGGAGTGAAAGCGATCGGCTGTCCATTAGATCTTATTGCTGTCGCGATGGCGAACAGCTGCTTCATTTTTTATTTATTTATTTAAAAAGCGCATTAAAGCTGAGATACAACCAGAAAGACGACAATACAACACTTATTATCACAATCATCAACACTTTTAATGCTTTATTTTACAGACTTATAATATGCTGTTGGTCTATTTAAATTTTTATTCCAGAATGGTCGCCGGGAAATGTTTCCCAAATCGCACTTGAGTGTCGCCTCTTGGTGATTCTGCGCTCTTTGGTGCATATTTGCAAGTGTTGTGACCAATTAGCTGCGCATTTCTTCAGTTGTTTCTACTGTAGTACGGCAATCAACATCTAACATCTGATAGACGTCATAGTGGTAACGTCCACACAACGTCAAGCTGTAACATCATTAGACGTTGATATTTGGTTGATTTTAGGTTGGAAGTTGGCCTGACCTTGAATTTGACGTCAACCCTATTTTCATTTCCAAACAAAATGCAATGTCCATGACTTTAGGTTTGCTGAGATGTCTTGAGGTAGTTCATTATGATGTGATTTACCCTCTATGAGTGATTTGATTGGACAGGAATCACAGCTATGATTATTCTAATCTCCAGAAATAATACAGTAGTGACTGCAGGCTGAAGGACAGTAGTGGAGTAACAGTACAAATACTGCAGTAAACATGTACTCAAGGAAGAGTAAAAGTACACATTTATAAAACTACTTAGTATACCATTCCTGAGAAAAAACTACTCAATTACAGTAATTTGAGTTCTGTGCAGTATAATACACTTTATTATATTATTATTCAAATAAACTGTAAAGTATTTATTTATTATGTTAGTATTTTTTTACATTGATAAATAATGATAATTTAAGTGTATTAATTTCAGTTTGAAAAAATAACATTTAAAGCAAAATTACCTTTTTGTGTATTTAGTGTGAAAATTAAATTAAAGTAAATCAACATACACTGTGTGTGCAAATAAAGAACGACAAACAAACCCACCGATTTTAATCAAAAGTTTTAATGTCGTCATTAAAATCAACATTGTTTGCTTTATCAAACATAATTATTTGTTACTGATTTGTAGTTTTCCCACCCCAGTCTCTCTCTCTCTCTCTCTCTCACACACACACACACACACACACACACACACACACACATAGACAGAGTTATTTCACATGAATCTGACAGTAGACACATTGTTGGCTGCTCTCTCCTCTGATTGGTCACAGTCATGTCAACCCATGAGCGCTTGTCTATTGTCCCGCTATGAATAAAGCTTTGTCTGAATGAATAACATGCGATGAATGAGTGAAGATATGCTTGCGTCTGTGAGGAAACAAACAGTGGATCTCAGTCTTAAACTCAACCAGTGGAGCTGATTAATAAAAGAGTGTGTAGAGTTATTCAGGAGCAGCGCCTTCATACAGCAGAGTTTCATCTACAGATTCATCTTCTTCCTGCAGACACAAGACAGATATGAACACATCAGTGGTTGAAAGTTGATTACTGAGTACAAAAACATTATTGATAGATTATTTATCCCACGTACTTTAGTAATTTAGAGTAAATACTACAGTGTTTTTGATAAATGTTTAAGTAAAATGCATTATACTGTTTATATATATATATATTTATTTATTTAACAAACCCCCTATAGTTGTAGAAAACTATAGTATTGTTACCATGGTAACCATAGAATCGCCACAACAGATCAATTACTATAGTTGAGTTACCATAGCAACTGTAGAATCACCTCAACAGATCAATTACTAGAGCTGTTGTATCATCATAGCAACTATAGAATTACCACAACAGATTAATTACCATAGTTGAGTTACCATAGCAACTATAGAATCACCACACCAGATCAATTACTATAATTGTTGTGTTACTATATCAACTATGGAATTTCCACAACAGATCAATTACTAGAGCTGTTGTATCGCCATAGCAACTTAGAATTACAGCAGATCAATTGCTGTAGTTGAGTTACCATCGCAACTATTGAATCACCACACCAGATCAATTACTATAGCTGTTGTATTGCCATAGCAACTATAGAATCACCACAACAGATCAATTACTATAGTTGTATCACCATAGCAACTATAGAATTACCACAACACATTTAGCTATAGTAGTTTACTTCAAAAGCACTATATTATTTACTTTATTTCTATACTACTGTTTCATGTGTGATGGAAGGTAGTTTTTTAACAGTTGTTTTTCGTGCTGATGTTTTAATACAGCTTGTTTTCGGGTGTAGAGAACATTCAGAAGTAACATTCCCACAATATTTGCTCAATGATAAAACATTAACAAGACAACATTTACTAAACAGTTCAGAGGACAGTCAGAAGGTTTATAATGTAGTGGAAGGGGAATGAAATCAAAAGCATCATTCTTCAGACATATATGTGTTAACTGTCTGGGATTGAACTGTTATGGAGAATTGATCATGTGATTTGGTCTAAATATAATAAATAATACCTCATTGGAATCACTCATTCTGTCTGCGTGGGTGACGTCTTCATCATAACCCTCCAACATCTGATCAAACAGAAGAAAAACACACACAGAAACACTTTTTGTTTAGTATATTTCAGTTTTCACTTCTGTAAACTGTGGTGTTT